CTACTTTTATCTTCGGTCTTTATTTTGAGGTTTCAGGTTCGGTTATCCTCCAGTTATGCTGCTTGGTGACCACTTTAAGCCTGTGGTCTCTATTTAGAGGTATCTAATTTGAGATCAAACCCCGAGACCACCCCAATTTCAGATATACAGAGTGGTCTTCAATTGGAGGGCGGACTGTAGGTACCAATATGTATCCGCAGCGAATATTAACCGGTCTACCCACACTATACAATTAAATGAGCTAATATTTTTAACCTGATTTGCGTTTCATAGCTGCGTCCGTTGTTAAATCCAGGAAATGTAATTGATTGTGTTTGTGCAGTCTAGTAGTCGATTGTCTGCGTGTCTAGTTTGGCAACTTTTGTTTGTTGAAGAAAGTTTATAAAATTACCGGCATTGTTACTAAGTTTTCCCAGCACTCTACTGTGAAATACCATGCTGTAAGTATGCTCTTTTATGCGGAATTAAGCCGGGTCAACGTCTTAGCTTTCTTTCAATATGGAACAAACCAAGCCTTCGTCTAAGCCCTACCATACTAGGTTCACGGTGTAGCACATAGAGGTCCGTGTTAATTTAACACTACCCTTCTAAGCATAGACCTACACCTTACCAATTACTTTGTGGGGAGATTGTATACATTCCTTTTATTTTAATGATATACTACTACTTAAAAAAAAAAAGAATTTGCAAAATCAGTGATCAGGATCATTCATCTAATAATCCTATCCACTGAAACAACAATTGGGTTTTAGCTGTATGTAAAATAGTGTAAATCAATTGTGTCCTTTCCATTGGTTAGAGCATGGAGGTATAAAAAAGATTAGAGTTACATTTAGGCTTAGCAGTGCAAGCAATCTTTGTTTACTGTATTGTGTTCAACCATTAAAATAGGTCCATGGTTCAACGATTGTCAATACCGTATGTATTTTCTTTGACAGTTGATTGCTTTTCATGACATTATGCCATGATGTACGTGATGTGAAGGTTCCCGATGTGAAGCATGAGCCAATTCATATTCATTAAATCTTTATTATTTGGTTGACACAATTCAACAAAAAAGATTGTCTTGAATTACATAAAGTCATAAAAAGGTAAAATTTTTTACATCTGGCTCATCTCATTTTCTGGACAAGATTTATTTTTTTTAATTTCAGGATCGATCACTGATTTATCAACAATGAGTGCTTAGCTTTCTGCACTGACACACACATAGATTGTCTTTTTCCGATTCACATACACAAGGGTTCTCAGGTTGCATAAGCTGGGGGTGCGGAAATTGAGAATGTGGATTTAATACCTTATTCCAATGAAAACTTTAGTATTTTGACCCAATACAGTAGTGAAGCTACTGTAATTTGCCATCATGGTTGGGAGGGGTGCATCCACACCCTGCAGTCCCCTTCCCTCAGCTTATAGTGTGACTATGGTTCTGATTAATGAATTTTGACCATCCTTAATTTAATCCTTGCTATTGCCAATCTGTAAAATTGCAAATCTGTGGTTAAATAATGGATGATTTTGCTCTGTGTTTTAAATCAATATGTAAATTTGAATGGGCCACAGCTGCTAGACCACTATTCCATTAAATTGTACTATATCATATGAAGTCCAATGCTACGGTCTCAGTTAAAATTACTACATACAGTAGAACCCCTGTTAAGGGGACACCTTCTGGACCAGAAAAAGTGTCCCCTTAATAGGGGTGTTTCCCCCTGAATACAGTAGTAGTTGGCTATAGTGAACTAAAAGGTATACTTTCATTTATTTTGTAGCCAACAAAAGTGTTGCCTTAATAGGGGTGTCCCAAAGGGTGTGCGGTAAAAATGGTCCTGGTAAAAATGGCCCCAGTAAAAATGGCCCCAAATGACAGGTACCGGTAGGTAAAAATGGCCCCAGTTATAAAATAATAAAAAAAATAATAAAGTAATAAAAATGATTTTTTTTTTCATGAATTTTTTAACTATTTAAATGTTCTGAAATAGCAAAAATTTAAAATGTTGATTTTTTTGTTAGAAATATAGTACCTCAATACACCTCAAACCTTCAAAAACAGATCGCGAACCCCATCCAAACCCTAATGATTGTAGGACTCTCTTTTTATGTCATTAACAAATAAAATTAATTTGATGTTCATATAACCTATTTTTGCAGGATTTAGTAATACCAAGAAGTTAAAAAATTCTATAAATTGTGATTCTGCTTCTGTGAATTTGGCCACAACTGAATTATTTTAGTATTAAAAAATGCATTATTTATGTTGATTTATTGATTAAATTATTGCTATATCGACATTTAAAAATGGAAAATAAAATAAAAATTTAAAAATGCTATTCATGACCTACATTCGTCCCAAAGGAGAGGTCTTCCTGTATTTAAATCCAAGTGGAAACAGCATAATTATGATTTAGCCATGGTAACAAACTGCTTAAATCTGTTTTGTTGTTTGATGAGTTTCCAGTTGACTTCTCTTTGTACTGTAACAGTGTCCAAATTGTTGAAAGATTTCAAAGCTAAGGGAATTGTCAGGCTGGCAGATGGTATTGGAATCTTGATCATATTAAATATCATGTTGCTAAATTATCCATGTTAATGGTTAAGCCATATAGATAAACAAGCCCAATCTAATTCTGAGCTATATTTTCAGTTTTATGTCATTGTGTTTAAATGGGAGCAGTTTACAACTTGTGAGGTGATAGTACACATATGTTTGTTGTTTGTTACCCATTTTATGGTTGAGCACTTCAGAACTGGACACTGCAGTTGGAATATTATTAGAATCTGGCAAACTTGCTGCCCAGGCACATCTCTTAGCAAGAGTTTGAGTCAAGTCCGAGCTGTATTGTTGTATTAAATATAATTACAGTACCTCATTTAAAATTGACCAATCATAGTTACACCTATGATTGTGCCTTAAATTGCCATTGAACAGTGGAGTGGTGATTGTTTTCACTGTTCATGGCAGTCTTGGTTTAGTCTGTTTTAGGAATATTTCTTGTTTTAATTCTTTTTCATTTTTCTTTTTTTTTTTCTGTTTATGTTAAGCACATTGAAGCTCCGGCATTATGTGCTATATAATGTAACATTATTATTATTATTATTATAGTTGATGTTAAAAAATATCATCCATCTTTAATAAATATAGTAGTATAATAAACCAAGGCTACCTATCTGAGAGGGCTCCCACAAATTGCCCATGGCCACCAGTTTAAAAAGTTTGAATATGTGGGATATAAGCATTTAATTTGATTTTATTCAAGCCTACTAAAGCTGTTCAGTATTATTTAATTGGTTTTTAAGTATGTCAATCATTGGACACTAAAATATTTGTAATTCTACTCTCAAATCAAAACTTGCTTTTAGAGTACCCAAGTGTAATAGTCATTACAACAAAAGTCAACCCTCAGGCCCTACTGCACTGCATATTACCGGTTACTTTTGAAAGCTTCTTCAAGTGTAGTACAGGTTGGTGGTAAAATAGTTCAGTTCATTCGTTGTTTGTAGGCATTGTTTTTGAATGGAACATGTTGGAATGAAATCAACTGCTTGTATAATTTTCTTATCTGAAGAAGTATTTTAGTTGTCATCAGGAGAATGATTAATAATAATAATAATAATAATAACAATAATGGTCGACTTATTGAGCGCATAATATGGAGACCTCTTTGCGCTTTACATAAACATGAAAAAACCTACTAAGAAAGTAATACTTAACAAACTTAATCCTATTCCTAAAACTAAGCATGGTTTGACCTTTGGCTCCGAGAAGCTCATCCGCCCTTTCTTCAGCTATTTTTTTATTGCTGCTAGGTGACCATTTATCCTCCCACCCAAAGGCCATTAAGGCCGTAGTTAGTCACCGGTGATTCAAGTAAATGCATTTTAACATTACACCCAGGACATCTTAGTGCAACTAATCTTAACTACTGTACCTAAAACTAACTTAAACTTAAACTGAACAACATACTTTACATATAAATGTATTGAAAATACTTAGTAATCATAACCATTTGCAACATCAGATTTTGTTTTTGAAACCTATCTTGTTAAGGCAAATTGCTAAAGGAGTTAACATTTTCACTTGGATGGAAATTCTTTGTTCATAGCTTTCACAGATTAATATTGCTTGATATTTGGAGAGAATACTGAATTGGCCTACTGTTGTAATTAATGCAATGTTTTTTTAATGAGATATCTGCATATACTATAGACTGATAGTTACTGTATGCACAACACAATTGCTTTCACATATTTTCCCACTTTTTAACACAGTGTTGTACTGTACATACAATATTTGACTATTTTGATATTTTCATTGTTTATACTAGTAAAACATTTTTTTTTTTTGTATTTCTATTGTCCTTTTATAAGTGTTGGTGGGATTCAAATGAAAAATCTACTATATGTACTCATTCGTCGTCATTCAATGTTAGGAAAATAAATGAGGATGAAAATAATTCTTTTATTAGTATTTTTTATATATAAATTAAAATAATAACAAATTTTTGTAGGTACTCTAAATGGTGTTTAAATGAATAAAAGGTATTAGATGTGATGTATTCTATAGGCTTCACCTTGACATATACCAAATGTGAATGCTGTAGTAGGTAGTGCATGTTAAAATTTTTGTGGCAGGAAACAGGACTACCGGTAATTTGTTAAAAGCTAATTATTGAATTAATGAGTAGGTGCCTACTGTATGCCTTGATAAATTTACCAAAATACTAAAAATAAAAATATTTTTTGTAGACCCTTCCAAATACTCTTGAGGATCAACATATTCTGTAAGCATTAATATTTTTCTTAGTGTTACATTTTCTAGGTATCCCATCAGTATTTTTAGTACCAGGCTGTTCCAAGGCTACTATAATACCCAATATACCAATCTTTACTTCCAACAGCTCCACATTCTTTAAATTCCCCAACAACGCTTAAAGTGTAGTAGACCTCAGTATCTTGATTAATATGCCTGGCTAGAGGCTGCAGTTAGTATGTGATGTTTTTGCAAGTTCGTCATTTTTGCGAAGTAGTCTAGACTGTAAATGTTACCGCTCACAAAAATATTCACTCAAGTTCAAAATAATATAGGAAGTGAATTGTAAGCAAGAGGAAGTACTGATGGTAGTTGTCATGTCTGCCGATCATTAGACATGCGCTTGAATTTGATAGTTCAGTATTTTGATGTCTGATGTGATATAACATGTTCTGACACTTTTAAAGAAGGTAAGTTTCATATTTTTACATGGAGCTCACTCACATTTATATCAGCCCAGGGCCGCCTTATCCATGGCCAACTAAAAATGATCGTTCCATTTGCAGATATTTTAAGGTTAGCTCAGGATCACATTTTGGGCTCTTGGTAAGGTACTCCCTACAAAGAAGTACCCAAGCTTTACTGTCCTCCCAAACAAATACACTCCAACCTCAACAATCGATAGATTGTCTAAGACCTGGGGAGAATCCATTGGGCTCACTTATAAAAAAGTAGACTATGTACAGTACTCTACATTGATCTAGGTATTTACCATATCTTTTTTGCCCTATATTTTTGTACAGTTATATTTTTTAAAGTATAAAAATAATTTTCCAAAAAAAAATTCCTTACTATTGGTAGGCCTGTGCATTTCAGTAAGTTTAAGAAACATTGCCCTCACCAATTAGTGGATGAAACACAATTCCTGTAGTCAGCAATTGTATGTAAATCATTAAACTCTTAATTTTATGCCTTTTCTTTGCCACAAGAAAAGAAATAAAACTAAACAGGGGTGGTGCCAGGAATTGCCCAACAGGGATGGGGTCCAACATCCCTGCTTGGCATCTCCCAAAATCTCCCGAAAGCGTCCCACGGGGGCCAAGCCCCTGAAAGATATGACGATTTAGGGGTTTCGAAGGCTTATTTAATAGATTTTTGAGTAATATGTAGAAAATACATTTTTTTTCTCCCCGACGAATTGTGGTTTTTCTTCCTGACGGGAGGGGGGACCCTGGCGCCACCCCGCCCGCACCACCCCGCCCGCCCCACTGGCGCCACCCCTGAAACTAAACACCATTAAAAGAAATAGTAACCTACATGCAATTATTTAAACAAGCAATTCAAATCTTTACTAATATTTAGGTTTTTATTAAATTTTGTATAAATTTTCGAAAAACTAAACAGTTTAATGAAAATTTTGAATAGAAAAAAAATTTATCATTTTAAGTTTCAGTTGAAAGCTTCATTAATAATTTGGATATACAGTATATAAAAACTGTAAATGAAAAAGATTAACATTTTTTGCATCACAGAGTATATTGTAAATTATATTAATTTAATTTCTTTAATGACATTTATTAAGCACTCTTCTGTCTGCCAAGGTACAGTATGTAGTAGATATGTATGCAAGTCATAAAAAGGCACAACGAAAGGGATAACAGGCTTGTGAGAGGTAAATGTAGATCTTAAAATAATATAATATTAAGCATGCAATAGTCGAAGTATAGCCATTTGTTTTGTTTCAATTATATTTGAGATTAAAAGTTTGTTGTTGTTCCATTTTTTGCATGCCTTCCCAGTCGAATCTAATTTTTGTTGCTAGGAGATATAATAAAAAGATTTTATTGTTGTAGTCATGTGTTGTGTCTTGTCTTCTGACCCTGGTTCTAATTTGGGTTAAGACTAATCAATTTTGACAATAAGCTAGGGAGCCTTGGTTGGAGGTGCGCTTACCTGCTGGGTAACTTATTTCAAACATGGTTCAACTTTTAGTTTAAGTGTTAGTTGCGATGTTTTACATCAAAATAATTATACCCAGAGACTTAAAAAGTACTACTTTGATACAGTAAATAATATATTGATCTTGATTCAGTGTAAAATGTGTATTAAAGGCATGACAGTGTACAATGCTGTTTTAAAGGATCTGATATATTATTAATCATTTAATGTCTAAAAAAATAAAATCAATCCTTGACTCTTGACCTTAAGTTTTGTTTACTGTTCAGTTGCAATAATTAGCCAGCTAAGCAAAACACATGCCCAAAATAGTTCCAAATCAGTATTGAGATCATTTTATAACAAAGATGTAGTTCTAATAATTTTTTTATTTCTGGCTGGCAGAAAATTCTAGGCTTGTCAACATACAGTTGACTTCATCTGTGTCTGATGGATTAGTGCACAATTAAATTACTTTTTTTTTTGCTCATAAGCATATATGCAAATAGATAGAATCTAAATTGCTCATGCCCAAGTTTTGCTGATCTGAAAGGAGGCTGTACAGTAGCATATTAAACAGTACAGTAATATTGTTGAGTACAGTACTATGTGATTAAATATGCCAAACTACTGTAGTGTGTTGTATTCAGTCATTCCATTCTCACCAGGGGTGAATTATTTTGGTACTGCAAGTATGCAAATACCAGTGGATGATACACATCAATAGGCCCCAACTTCTTCTGTTACAATTCCATGTTGTTAAGCTGCCTCTCTTTTTGTTATTGATCATATTTGACCTAGGTTATGAGTATTATGAATGAATTATTATTATATAATAATATAAAGTGTGCTTAAGTACTGTATTAATCCAAACTTCTTACACTTGTCTTAAAATAGGCCTATCATGGAATTATTACATGCTTATTGATCCAGCATTGATTTTTAAAGGTGCTTATCTTGCAAGCACAGAGGTCTTGAATCCTGTCAATCTCCCAAACCTCATGTATTACTTAACTTTTAAGACATCACATTGTTGTAAATGTTTAAAATTGTAAGCAAACATTTTGCATCAATGTTTGATTTGTATTCACTTGTTTTCTGTTTGTATAGTTGATCTGCTTTGTATGCTTCTACTGTATGCAAGAAGGTCTGTTCTTGCATTATACTTGTTGCACTATACTTCCAACCTGTTATTAACAAATGAACTACAACATCATTTATTAAAGCAACATAGAAATTTCAAATTTCATATTTTTTATATTTTCAAAATTATGTAATTTCAAATTCCTATATATTTTTATACATCCACATAAGAAAAGTTTCATCAATGAATCCTAAAAATTCATTTTTTAAGCTTTAGTTTGATATAAAACTTGTTTACATTCCTCAAAGTTGAAAATTTGCTAAATCTGAAAAAAAAGTCAAGGAATTGCCCTAATACATTTTAAAGGAACACGAGAATGGATTTTGTTGATTGATATTGATTCATTTTCCTAGTAATTATTTCTTTAGTTTTCTCTTTATAAAATGTACATTAGACCATCAATAAATGAATTTTTTTTTTCCACAGATCAATAATGAATGAGATGCATTTTGAAAGGATTCACCTTTGATCGTTGTACTGTAACATTGTACAACTGTTACAATAAAAAAAATCTATTCAAGAACATGGAAAGACTTTGAAATCAATTGCTATTGTGAGGCAAATTTTGGGTGTTGTACATTCACAGTACAAACCACGAACATGGCACTTCCAAGAGCGAGATTTATATTTGTTTTTGTGGTAACTGTCGTATTGCTATACATGATATTAGTATACTATGATCAGCCTGTTTCAAATATACAGTACGGAGTGCAAGTTGAGCAAGGTGAAGATGGTGTTGTATGCCGCGATTGTAATAAATATTGCTATACCTCGCCGTATGGTAAGAAAATGGTACCACTCGATGGGGATAAATTGCGCCAAATTGGATGTGAACAGCGATTACCGCAAGCTTTAATAATAGGAGTGAAAAAATCTGGAACAACTGCCCTCAAGCATTTCGTCAGTTTTCATCCACAAATAGCATCACCGGTTGATGAGGTCCATTTCTTTGATAATCGTTATTTTATGGGAATGGATTGGTATATATCCCAAATGCCATATGCTTTAAAGAATCAGACAGTGCTAGAAAAAACGCCTCGATATTTTGTGTGGGCAGATGCTCCCGACAGAGTCAGGAAAGATCTAGCCTCGGATGTCCGCATGATTGTTGTATTACGTGACCCAATTGGTCGCGCTGTGTCCGACTTTGTACACATACAGTTTAAACGTCATTTACAGGAGGTTGCTGATAACGGCGGAAAACCAGTCAAACAAGTTGTTCTACCATTGACACCAGAGTTAAAAAAAAAGCGAGAAAAACAAAAGATATCTGATGAACGTAATAATAAAGCCATTGGAAGCTCAATGTATGAAGTCACAGAATCCTTTGAAGATTCTGTGATAGATGCCGACGGCAACGTGAAAGGCGAAAATAGTTTAATCGATACAGGTATATATGTAAAGTATTTAAGACGCTGGTATGAGAAATTTCCAAGAGATCAAATACTTGTTATGGATGGAATTGATTTGATTAAAAATCCATGCAAAGCTATGAAGTCTGTAGAGGATTTTCTAGGTCTACAGCCACATTTTACCGAAAAACATTTTTATTTTGACCCAGTGAAACACTTCTATTGTTTAGCTCTTCCAGTTAAGGCGTGTATGAGTGCATCAAAAGGTCGTACACACCCTGAAGTGTCACAAGAGGTTACTGACAAATTACGGAATTTCTACAAACCATTTGATAGGGAGCTTGAAGAGCTAACAGGTCAAAGGTTTTCATGGGTAGAAAGAGATTAATTATCATTTTCAATATTTTAATAGTATCTATAAAGAAACTATGAATTATGATATAATAACATAATTTTTGTACAAATATTTTGAGAAAAACATTAATACTCAAACACAATCAATTATCAATCTATTTAATTTGCATCAGCACATTTCTAAATACTGTATGCAAATTTGGAAGACTCATTATAGCTAGCTTGACAGTACTGTGCTGGCTTGTATGACACTGCTTAATTATCATTCATCTTCTAAACAACTTTCAAACATTAGAATTTATGGGATGACTACTACTGTTTTTTTTTTGCACTACAACTGAGTTGAATTTCATATCCATGAATCTACCTGTCAAAATTTAATTGACAATGTAATCTTGAGAAAACTTTTTATTGGTAAAGTCCAAGAATGTTCCTTTGGTTGGGTTTAGAGACTATGTTCTTCTCAAAATTCATCTATCTGTAAATATTTTTTTCAATTTAGAGTAGGAAAAAATATAAGATTGTTTAAAAAAAAAATATAACATATATGTATTACAGAAAGAGTTACAGTAATTGTTTATCAGAAAGCTTCATTCCTTATATTTTTACACGGTCTTTAGGAAAATGGGAGCTGCAGTCTATTTCCCCAAATGTGTTTAGGTCGCACAAAGAGATTTTAGGCCTACAGTAGGCTATAGGAAAAGCTCTAAAATTGTCACATACCTCAAATTCACATGCTAAAATTATTTTGCGAGCCTAGAAATATCAAAAATAGGCTATTTATTTCAACATCCATCATTGTAAAAAACCACCGATTTTAGAATCAATAGTACAAATTTAGGTAAAAATATATTTTTGATGCATTTCTGTATTATTATTTTGAAGCCCATTTTATTGGTCAAATCCTATCACAAATTGTGCTTGAATCATGAAGCAATACTGTTTTAATTTTACATGTTTATTTTGTATGCTTTGGAAATTAGTTTAATATAGTATATTGTCTTTTGTAATCTTTGTATGTATGCCAAAACTAATTACAGTAAAACATCCATTTTACGTACCTCTTGGTACCAAAAGGTGTGTATAAATTGAAGAATTTGTTAACTAGATGGGTCTCAGTTTCCAATACCTAGGTCTAGCTATCCCCTGCCATTGAGCGCCGATGGGCTGACGGCGGCCAGGCCTAGCACAAACCGACAATGCAACAGCGTGGACTACCGCGCTAGAGCCTAGCTAAATTTACTTCGATAAAAACGGAAAATTATTTTAATTGCTGGCATTCTTCCACTTAACAAAATATTATTTTTAATCTGTATTTCTTATGGACCTTTCTTTCGTGTTCTTTCTAGTTGTTAGATCGCTGAATAGTGTTGTTTACATGCATTTTGCGATCATATCTAGCATTTACGATGTCAATAAATTGCTGACCCCAACACTCTTGTTCGTCGTCGTAAACATGTACGCTTAATTACGTTGATAGTTTGTTGTTCTGGTTAGGTTTATTACATTAACATAGTGATCATTATACCAGAAATGGAAGTAAAGATTGAAATATTAATAAATAAATAAAACAAACTTGATTTTATTAAGAAAAATTTACATTATCCCTTTGTAAAACGTGCGCAGTCAGACTTTTTTTACCGCAATAGTTGGTCGATGATGACGTCATTGGCAAAGACCATTCGTAAAATTCACTATTCGTAAAATGGACGTTTTACTGTATTAAGGGACATTATATTAGTTATAATGATGTCCCCTCATGGGTTCTACTGTACTGTATATCAAAGTTGGTAATTTGTTCAATTCTCTGATTATAAATCAGTAAGACTAAATTCATCAAAGATGTGGCAAATAGAAATAGGCTTTCCTCCTGGCCCCAACCAAGGGCACTAGGCAGCCCAGGCCTCCAGTCAAAGTGCACTACATTGCTTTGCTCCCATCTCTCTGACTTCTGTTTTCCACCTTCAGGGAAATCTTTACACCAGCACTCCAGAGAGCATAGTTTTTTTTAGCAATAATCACCAGCTCTTCCAAATGCAAGTCTGCTCACTGTGCCCATGTACTTTTAGGAAGTTAAGAAAAAGAAGGTACTGGTAATCAAAGATCTGTTTTTTTTTTTCTCTAATTAGTAATTCATATGTAAAGATATATTTTGAAGTATTAAATAAATAATTTTGAATAAGAAATACTGTAGCTTGAAAATCAAGCTTGCAGAATTTTTATGATAATTGTTTAATTTTATAGCATATGTTTTTTTTTTTCATGCTTTTACTAGATTTGTATGAGATAATTTGTGTATGTCAATAATTTTGAGTATGTGAAATATTATTGATATTATAAATGCATGCCATGTACAGTAGATAGTTCAGAAAAGAACTGTTAGTTTTTGTTGAGTGTCTCAAAGTTTTGATTGAGGTATTCTCCAGATGACAGTATAAAGTTTTTTCTCGTTCATATTTTTAATTTTAAGGTAATAACTTGCTTAAATACACCAACTAAGCAATTTTTTATTTTTTGGCGCATGATAAACGGTATGTAAAATAGAGCATCATTTCCATACTTTAATTGGTGAGATTAGTCACTGCTGAATAGGAATGACATGACATTTTATTTGTAAAAAATTTTTGATTTATTTTGAATACCAAACTGGTGCTTACGCTGTGCAAGGATTATTCCTGTCTTTCATTTTATGTTGCTAAATTTACTGTTTATGTTTTGTGTATTTTTTATAAGTAAATAGCTTCTTGTCTTTATATATAGTTATGACTAAAATGTTTTTGTCTTGAGCCCGTCCCAATGTTAATGGTTTGATAAGAAAAATTCTTATGATTTATTGCCTTGAGAGTTAATGAGCTTAATATTAAATTCATCCTATAACTGCAGTAATGTACAGTTAATCCCTTAAGGTCAGTCATCATATCCAGTCAAAGAGGAAATATGGCTAGAATACATTTATATTGGACTGCTTTATACTAAGTACTTAGAGTGCTGTTCTGTATGTTTGTTTTTTAGTATAATATTAGTGAACAGTGATAGAGTTACACTTGTTGAGCACATAATCATTATAAAATCATCCATTGTTTGGCATCAGAAAATATATAAAAGTAGTACTTTCAAGATATATACACAAATGTTAGGTGTTATTGATAAAAATTAAAATTATATCTAATATGATTATTGTTACGATGTGATACCACTGTAGTTCACAGTACTACCCAATAGTTTGATGTGCTTTAAACCGATTTATTTTTTGTAATATTTGGAAATTAACTGCTCCAATGTTTAACAATAAAAACCTGTATTGGATCACTACACATACGTAGAAATATTATGATTTCAGTTATTTTGGTTACATTTGACTGTTACCAGGGGCGGATCCAGTGATGTCCGAAAGGGGGTGGGGGCGAAAGTTGGGCCGATCGAGACAACAATACCCTCGCCGCCCGAAAATAACCTCTGAGGCATTTTTGGGCGATCAATTCTTTTCTTTTTAACTTTCGAAAAGAGGGCCCAGCAGCCAGTGGGTGCATCAGTATATGAGGCTCATCTGCAAGTGTGTAAAAATAGGTGCCCAACTGGGATTCAACTGGGACCTTCTGGCGTCTATGCAGATGCTTTGACCAACTAGGCCATTGAGGATTTGTTGGGAATTCAAATCCGATTAAAGCATCTAATACTTCACACGCATGTACTTGCATAGCAATTAACAAAGATTATATGATATGACCCAAAATGTTCAAAATTGAAAGTGTTCATTTTAGTAATTTTTTTTTTTACATCTAAAATTATTTTTTTAATGAGCTAAAAAGGCTGAAATAGCCCTATCTTGCGATGGTAGACGACATGACAGTGTTAAAGTATGCGATCGTTTCGCTCTTCAATATAGATTTTAAAATGGACATGTGGTATTTTTGTGTATTTTCTACTTTTTAGACATAAACAATTTTTGGGAAAAAAAATAATAAAAAAACTTTTCCTACCAACCTACCCATTTTTTTTATTTTTCCAAAACGTGGCCAACACAAGAATTTTTTTTTATTGGCCTAAGCCTTTGACAACAAGATCTCAGAAGAGACTTTTTATAAATAAGTCATGATATACGGTAAGAGAGAAATTCTAAACTCTAGATTTTCAACATTAAAGAAGAGTAATCTGCGAGTGTGAAAAAATAGGTTCCCCAACAGGGATTCCACCCTGGTACCTTCTGCTGTCTTTTCGTTGATGAGATATGCTTGATAGTTTATTGAAATATCTTCCTATTCGAGCACTATTATTTATTTATAGATTAATATTATATATGTATATATATATATACTGTACATATATAATATATAAACATACACACACATACATACACACCTACCTACATACTTGCACAATACATATATTGTATGTACAAACTGTAAATATACAGTGTTAATAATACTATAATCAAATAATACTAGAAACAGTGCTCGAATAATGAGCAATGATTTAAAGATCGTATCGGACATAGCCTGCCCCCGATACTTCTTTATCAATTGTTAGAAAAAGTGACCCTGGCATGAATTGAACCCACAATCTCTCCCTGTAGAGACAAGTGTCATACCACTTGACCACAGGTGCCGCGGGTACATCGTCAGAAACAACCCAACCATTACACTTCTCCGACACAACTGATATACATTCTCGACGCAGTGTATGATAGGAGCAGACTAAAACTACGCATTTGCGTGAAAGGTGCCACTTCATGTTTAGCATGCGTTTGATGTGTGTATTTGCATGCACGTCCCATTAACGAACGAAAAACAACTGTCACTTTATTGATCCGCAATCAATTAGTAAACACTGACAATAGATTTATAATGTGTCACAAGCAAAACAGCTAGCAGCGATTATATTTTGAATTGAGATCATTACAGGTTTTATTGATTTTCATTGATTTTCAAGAGGGCCTACTCATTTGAGCAAGGTTACCCATTACCATTTTAAAAATTGTTTATCAATTTTAGTTCAGACTCTGTTGAACTACTGCCACGTTAGCATCATCTTTCAGATACTAGAAACTACTGTAATTTAATTAAATCCGGTTAATGACAATTTGTTACAAAACATGAATGTTCCAAGGTCGGAAGAATCGACGCGGCTAATACAGTGTCAAATATGTCAAGATTTTTATACATTGCCTAAACTTTTGAATTGTTTGCATAGCTTCTGTGAAGGATGCTTGCAAGTAACTGACCAAAATAAAATAATTTGTTCTATTTGTAAACAATGCACGCCTGTAATTAATGGAATCAGTGGTCTGAAAACGAATCAGTTTCTGGTGAAGTTGACTGGAAATGCTGCAAGCCTCAGAAAATCAGTTTTGACTGACCAACCTATTGTTTGCACTAGCTGTGACGATGAAGAAGCCTCCTTTCGTTGTAACGAGTGTGATGACTTCTTATGTGATGGATGCAGAGAGGCACATTCTCGGGTTCGGGTCACTCGTAATCATAAAATTTTAAGCATTTGCGACATCCGAAATGGTCAGTATGATGTGGAACTTGTCACAAGAATGGGGTCAGAAGAGTGTCCTCGTCATGACGGCGAATCTCTCCGATTTTTTTGCAAGACGTGTGATTACTTAATTTGTCGTGACTGTCTCTTGTGTGATAACCATCTAAAAGGAAATCACGAGTGTGTTTGTGTAAAAGAAGTGGTCAACTCTAGTAAAGAGGAAGTAAATAGTGCACTGGAAGAGGTTCAACAGAAGAAGAAAGAATTGGTGATTGCCTCGGAAGCAGTGGAAAGTTTGTTGGATGACATTGAAAGAATGGTATGCGAAGCAGAAAGTAGAGTAAACATGGATGCAGTGCAAAGCATCAGAAATATGGAAGATGATAGAGAGCGACTGTTAAGGCAAATTAGATCCAAGAAGAGCGATCACGTGAGAGACCTCTTTACTGTTCTTGAACAAATTGATAATGGATTAAGAAGTGTCACAGATCTAACTACACTCGCAAACAACCTGATCGTACTCGGCCAAGCCACAGATATTCTTTTCTTTAAAAATAGCATAATTACATGTGCAAATAAACTATCTTCGTCGATAAGCGTGCCCACAGTTCCTTCCAATCTCGATGACGTTGCTTTTCCATTCGAGATCTATGAGCCTGGTATGAAAGTAGACAAGGCCACACAAATGTTACAGGAAGTGAGAATAGCGACGGAGAAAATATCAATTGGAACTTCCACACGCGAAATGGATGATATGAATACATCTAAAACCAACGAAGAAAAAGACATTACCGATAAATTAACTGGTGATCAAAATATAGGTAGGACAATTTAAAATAAACAGAAATAATTTTTTTTTCAAATATTGAACATTTATTAGTTTGTTTTACAATTCAGTGTATTGTAGGTTTAGCAGCCCGATTATCTTCCTATCTTTATTTTTAAACGAATTCAATCAATTCAAATTAGAATTTCACAATTTATAACAAGACAAAATAATTATATAGTTCATCCAAAAATTATCTAACCGTTTATATAAAAGTTTTTTAATCAGGGCAGAAAAGTGGCATCGACTGTAGACACGTAGGCCTAGTACTCAATATTATGTCGGTATTTTCTATCTAGATAAAGGCAGAAAACTTAAAGAAGAGTTTATCATCATTGAGGATAACATGTCCACCACAGTACGGCAGTCTGTGGTGGACATTGTCAACAGAGCGTTTGGTGAGCATGATGAGCGTTCAGATGAAGTCCTCTCATCAGTTAAAGATTCGTTGGAGCTTAAGTTTGGACCAACATGGCACGTTGTAGCAGGAACCTTCTCTTGGAATATGGTGAGGTTGAATTTGTCTTACGCAATACTTAAGGCCGATGATCAAAATATTATTATCTTTTGCTCGGGTTCTGCGCAAGTATCGAAACAAACTTTACATCGCAAGGTTATTGTCGTGGAAACGGACATGATTGATACAATGAAACGCGACATGTTGCGGTTCTCTAAGCAAGCTATGTCTAGATACACTAACCGCTCTGATATTGCTAAGAACATTGTGGATGTTTTCAGCAGAAAACATGGTGGAAAGTGGCAGTGTTTTATAATGGGTGAAGGTTCAATGTTTGGTTTAACTAAACTGCCTACTGCTAAGAATAGCTGTATACATATCACAATTGGGACAGAGATTTTGGTGCTACTGAAGCTCTCTAGCAGATAATACTGTACTATATAGTCCTGTATTGCACAGATGGTGTAGAATACTTAAATTAAAGAAAAGGCTGATGATTATCCAGCCCTGTTATGAGATAGATCCAATCATGTTGGGTATTTTAATAGGAGTTGTTAGGTAATTCTCACTGATTAATATCATAGGACTACTGTGAATTTTAAATTTTTTGTATGTAAAATAATTTCAAATGGAAGAACTTTTATAAAATAAAGTCTTAGAAGGAACTTTCTAATGTTGTTGTTCTAACGTTATTTTCTTTCAAGAATCCGATTCCCTTTTGAAATGGCACTTTAGTTTAGCAACTACCCAGATGGAGTGGTCAGATGACTATTAAACTTAACTGACAATTTATCGGTGTCATATGATTCAATTAGAATATTTATTTGTATAGCACAATCTTTGAATAGTTTTTTTTCTCTTTCGTAGGATTCACGCCCACATTTATTTCTAAAAAAATTTTGTGTACAGTACTTTCCATTTCACCTTAAATTTCACAGTACGATATATAATAATGATAAAAATAATGGCAGCAATAATTTGATTCTTCCTTATAACTAACCTTAAAACTATATTAGTACAGTATACTGTATTGCAAAATACAAGTATTTCGAATAGCACTAAAAACTTAAAATGTTCGAAAAAAATTAGATAAATAATATTAAAAGCTAGTCCAATAAAATACATTCTTCTTTATAAATCTATCACTTTAAGTTGAGACCTTAAAACTATATTAGTACAGTATACTGTATTGCAAAATACAAGTATTTCGAATAGCACTTTAAAAGTATCAAATTTTGTAGTGGAGCTGTAGCGTGGTGGTTAAGATGCTTGCCTTCCAATCCCAGAGTCCTGGGTTGAAACTCTGTGACAACACAGGAGTTTTTCTCATGACCAAAAAACATCTCCACTTACCAAACCTTAGTTTATAAAGCATCTTATTATTTCATTTATTTATTATCTGAGCGAAACTGGAAATTTCACTCTCTACAACACAGGTCCCAAGTCTACTAGAACTTGCCGGAGTCTTTCGCAAACAAGTAAGAATCTCCCGGAAATAACCCATCTCCCACAAATTCATAATATTTGCATGTTTTAAATATTTTATTGTCAATTGTTTCATGGAAGTCAGTGCCGATGTGTATCACTGTTTGCAGAAATATATAAAATTTAATTTGTTAACACATAAGCACTGCAGATCAGTGGAGTATTCAAAGGGAGGTCCGAATTTTTCCAAATTAATAAAAAAAAAAAGAGGAAAAAGGAAAATTGTATTTTAAAATAGATGTCTGAAAGTGTCATTTCCGGCAATCTAGAGGTACCATAATCATCTGTGAAAGTCCCTACCTCCCACCGACCCCTATTTCGAATTTCTGGATCAGCCAACTTGGGACCCCTGCTATAAACAATGGCATAATATGTTACTAACTTCCAACCAAAAAACAGATCAAACATGGAATCTACTATTGCAAATGTAATCATTTTAATATAATTTGATGAATCATGAACAATGATATCCAAAGTTATGTCATATTTTATCACTTAATAACTACATCATAATTATTTATATCTCATTTATAATTTAACATTTCATCTGTAATACATAGAAAGCATACATAGCAGTTGAAAGAGGTTGTAGCCTCTTTCAAAGACAATTTAAAAAATTCAATTTGATCTATCCAAGTGTTATTGACCTCCATAAAACTTTCATTCCACATAATATTCCTCACCTAATGCACTACCCAACACTCCAATACTGTTCCCTTTTCTATATATTCCCATCCCACTATCTTCCACTCCCCCACTCTATTTACTCCCCTTTATACTAGTCCCCTTCCCATTCATTTCCAATACATCTACTCCTTCCATGATACTCTATACCTCCTCACTTTTATCTAATCCCCAACTTTTCATTCTCAAATGCTCTTATCCTTCATATTTTCCCCCTCCCAAATTCATCTGCCACTTATTAATTATAAAAGTATCAAATATAACTAATTAATCACATCAACAATGTTCACTTCACAATATTTCACTATAGAAAAACATGAAAATAATTCTAAAAATATATATATAAAACATAAAGATGATTATTTAACCACAACATAATCGCATTATATCAAAGTAATTCAAATGTTTTATATTGCTTTTTAGTGACTAAGATGCTTATAACTTAATTGAGGTGGAAGATTATAATCTTAATGCGGTCCACAAAATGTTTTTAATAATGTTATAAAATCAACATAACACACCACCAAGTGGTTTTAAATTTTATTTATGTATAACTTATTTAGCCAGGATAATATTTCAGTAATATACATACAGGGCATTTATATACTGTTTTTAGAATGGTCCTGGTATCTAATACAACTACCATAAACTAACACAGAATTTAAAAAATTCAAAGGCACATTATAATCTATAGTCAAAAAATAATAATTTAAAAAAAAACAATATTACAGCAATAGATAGCAATGAATAAATCTGTGTATATAATATATAATTTTAAAAATAAAATTTTAATAAAGATAATTTCAATTTGTAAGAAAATGTAAATACGTCTTTACACATTAATATTTTTTTCAAAAATCAGCATTTTAATTTCAGTATTTTACTTAAAATTGTAAAAGTAGTCAAAACTTAACTTATGATAATATGGTGAGCATTTTGTTAAAGGTAAAGGTAGGAAAATAATCCATAACTGGCCGCTTCTTTGTGCTGAATTACGTAAGGGCATGGTCCGTGACTACCTAGCGCTCGTAAAGAGGCACTTTTAGTAGCTACATGTTCACATCATTCCACGGCAGGAGCTGAAATGAACCATAGCATCGGGGGAGGGGGTTTAACCCCCTACTCTTCCGGAATATGCAATAGGTTCCTTAAAGTGCACACATTTTAAGTACTTGGTTCCAGAGGAACCAAGTAGTGGTCAAGGAGCGGCTGTAACTAGCACCAATGTTAAGGCAGTAGTACAGCTGATGAGCCTATTTCACAGTTTCTTGACATCAAAGTGTTTAAATAGATGATGATCGGTTATGGTCCAGTAACGTTGAAACAACAATTTGTGAAGCTTGTCCAGAATGACCATATATAGCCAATATGTGCCTATATATGGTCATGATGTTATATCACCATGACCATATTTAGGTATTTCACATGTCAACAAAAAGTTGACAGTCTGGACAGGGCTTGAGACTGACAGCTTCCAAATTAAACATAGTCTGGACAGGGCTTGAGACATTATCAACATTGTGGACAATGGGATACTAATATACAACACATTTAAACCTTAAATTAAAACATGGCTCTAAAAATTGACTATAAGGTTTTAAAAATAATTTATCATTAATGAAATAAAATAATTATATATTAACACTAAAAGTCTGAAATCATACAAGATAAATACTCAGCTAATGATTTTTTTTTCATTTATACCTTTAATGACAGCTTCCAAATTAAACATAGTCTGGACAGGGCTTGAGACATTATCAAAATTGTGGACAATGGGATACTAATATACAACACATTTAAACCTTAAATTAAAACATGGCTCTAAAAAATGACTATAAGGTTTTAAAAATAATTTATCATTAATGAAATAAAATAATTATATATTAACACTAAAAGTCTGAAATCATACAAGATAAATACTCAGCTAATGATTTTTTTTTTCATTTATACCTTTAATGACAGCTTCCAAATTAAACATCTTAAATAATATATGTTCCTGATAGCTCCTTGTTCCACCTTCAAACAATACAGCAAAGAATGTATATTTCCGGTTGTTAATAGTCTCCTCAAACATAGTAATGTCCGAGTATCCAGCCAGCTCCTCATGGAACACCCACGGTTCTGACCAGGTTGAACAGTCATCTTGGCTGAGGCGGACTGACAGGTGTTTCCTGGTCATTTTGTCAGCTGGATTTGAGAGTATCATCCAGTATTTAGGATTTGCTGGATTGAAGTTTGGTTCTGGAAAGCGGACAAGACCAGCCTAGATTTTAACACAAAAAAAGTCACATTTAATTACACTAAAATACTAAATAAAACTATGATGAAAAAATTGAATCCCAAGTACTTGGTTATGTGGGCGATATTGGAATTCTTTAGGAATCCAATTACTAAAGATGTAAATAAAGGTGAATTATAATGTTAAGCAGTGGTACACATCCTCACAAAGAATAATAATAGTTGTACTGTACAACAAAAAATAAGCGCCACAGTGCTTACAATATAATTTCCTATAATATTCACTGCAGAGGTAGTGCTTATTCTAAACAAACACAATGTGTTACATATTATACAAGTTATATAAATTTTATTATAAACACCTGTATATATTCTATTAATTTTATTGGTTGAAAACAGGTCACATGAAATTGATTCAAAATGAATATTCCGTGGTTATTTAAGTACTAGTCAACGATTGTTGAATAGTACTTTTTCATCTCCAAGACGACAAAATCTCAAATGCAACCTGAGCACGAAAAGTAGCCTAGCCATCAAGGAGTTGATCATTCAGTAGCCCTGGCTTTGCCAATAAAATGGCAGGTCCATTTGGTACTGCACTGGGCCATTTGGAAGAATTACTAAATGAAAGTTATGCTGAATCAACAAAAAAGGCAATAAAATATGCAGTATGGAGTATTTCGCCAGCTTCAGCAGTGAGGATTTGAGTCTGTTATTAACATTATAAACATTCACTATTTGTATACTATGATAAATGTAGTGTTAAAACCCATTGGACTTACTGCACATCCTCCTGCTGATGCTCGTTGCCATATATTGTTTCTTTTCTTATAGCCAGGTTCAAATACAGATGTCAGTAGAGGTTTGGTGAGTGTAACTCCTCCGTCAAAGCTATAAGATTGGGATCTTGGGTGGTCAGCATCAATGGTGCGACTATTTAGACATACAACCCCATTATTCAATTCCACTGCCTAGAAAATCAATGATGATGATGTTAAATCCATGTAATTAATTAAAGTTAGTCTGGGATAAGAAGTCGGACTTTAGCGTTGGGAGTTCAGTTAGGGTATTTGCACATTCTCAGAGGGCTTCGTACAGTATGATTTTATTAACATTGTGGTGGTCAATTTTATCTTTGATTAACAAAAGACTAGTTTGTGTACCACAAAATGCCAAAATCTGAGGAAGACAAACAACAGGGTAATTATCAAAGTTGTTGATTACTTGAAAAAAAAAGGCTATGCATGGATATTAAAAAATAAAAACAATTTTTCGAGTTCTGCATCAATGCATCCTTGGTAAGGCACTGTAAGGCAATACAGTTGTTGATGTTGAATAATGTTGGTTGGAACGCCAGTAAACTATATCAAATTGATTGGGAATTGAATATGAGAATATTGTCATTATGGTTTTCTAATACTCCAAATGATACTGGCCTCAAATATTGAGATTTTACGAGAAATGTTAACAGGCCAGTTTAATTACAGTATTCACAATTCTGATCCATGAAGTGAGAGACCCGACAATTTCTAGGCTAGGTCAAGGTTTACAAAAGATTACAAAAATTCCAAAGCCTAAAATGCATGCTAAATGTACTGTATCTGTATCTATTTTGAACAATCATATTGCCTCTCCTTTCCATTTACTTCTCACGTTAGCAGTGGGCGGTTGTTTTTACAACCATAATATTGCCGTTTCCTATATACTTTTACACTGATCGCACCGCAAGTTACACCCACAATAGGTCACATAACCAGTACCAACAGCTATGCATCATAAAATCTGTCCATTGTCAACAGGGATGCAAACTGCCTACCTGGACTTCATTGGGTTGGATTGGAATTTTTTGCAAGTCCTCAGTGTACGGTGTTGAACCCCCAACATGCCACGAAACACCGCCATCATCACTGTAGAATATATTGCAGTAATTTGTACAGTTAGAACAAAGATGGGGATATTCCCCTGAAAGAAAAATACAAAGAAATAGTTAAGAAAAATTTATACTATTAAGCTCAAGTAACCACCTTCTAGCTAATAATTACTACTAAACATTCATAAATAAAAATATTTAAATTATATATATTTTTTCATTAAATGCTTATAATATTTAAGCAAATTTTAAGAATTTCTTTAATTCTTATAAGAGCATCCTAACTACTTTATATTAAATTGTATTTTAATTCATCACTTCTTCATATTTTTAACATACTGTATTTTTAAACAATTAACTTAATAGTACTTCATTCAATTTTTTAAAAATGGAATGAATACCGTTATGGGCATGTTGATTTTAATTTTTCATTGTTTATCTTCATTTTAATTATATAATATAATTTTAAAATTTTTATCTTCGATTGATCTTTAATTATTGTTTTAATACAGTTAACCCTCCAATTCGAGACCATCTTTGGAACCTGAAAATTTAGATGGGTCTCGGATCAATGTTAGTAAATTTGGTCAGTTTTAAAATATTGCACATTTTACTCATATTGAACATGTATCCTCAATATATGTTGCAATTAATAAAAAAAAAATTAATAAAAAATAATAATACATTTGATAATTACTTACTACTATATTTATCCACATGAAAGTAATTGCCAGCTACTATAATACGACCACAGCTTAACTGGATAGAATGACCAGGTCCTGTAAAATACAAGTATTTTGTCACTGATTATTATTTGATATGTCGACAATAGGTTTAATTCAATTCAATCAATTCAACTTTTATTTTGGATCAGTTTCCATAGACAAAACAACCACAAGAGAATAACAAGGCCCAGCACCAACAGAATATACAAACAATATAAATTAAAAATAATATGGGCCAGAACGAAATCAATTAATGAATTAATTAATGACAATATACAATGTTTCTACAATAGCAATGTTATACTGTGCTGGTACAAACAACAACTGATTCTACTTCAAGATTAATTTGAATCAAATATAATTTTAGAACAAACACTTTGATAAAGCTGTTGCAACTCAATTCTGGTTTTAAAACTTTACACAGATTCCCAGAAATATTCATAGAATGTAGGTACATTATTTGAAACAAATATTTCACTGGCACTGCATCGTCTTGGAAATTCCTTACTCAAGTTTTCAAGGTAAACTTAAGCCTCTAATGCTCAATACTGTCCAATTAATATATTACTTTGTTGTCTTTAAGGTTATTAAAAATCCCTTATAATTTACAAATGTGGTGGGGGGGGGGGGAGGTCTGTATCTGTTTCTTTGTTTACAAGAAGCTAACCTCACCACTGTTTATACTACTCGTATATTTGTTGTTTTCTTTTCAATTTTTATGACATTATTTTACTTTCTTCCCTTGTCTCTCTTTTTCATATTTTTTCTATGGTTAAATAATTGCTTTATGCACTTTAGGACAATCTGGAAAGGCTTTCAAATAATAAGAAGTGAGTGGATTGCAATGCTGTGCTGTGCAGTGTTGAATCTGAATGAAAAAAGGTGCTTGGATCGTCATTATTGTCTGATACTGTGCATAACCTCTATTAATAGAGTATACTCGCACAACGCAACAGGTAACATGAGAAAAACTGTAATATTTGCTGAGATTATACTAATATAAACGCATTACACCAATATTAGCCTCTTCACTGGCTGCTAGATAGGCAACGTATTGCCTTCAAAATACTTCTATTTACGAACAAATCTCTCCATGGCATAGCTCCTCTCTACATTGAAAATTAGTTCATCTTAGGTCTTGTCGATGCAGATGTTCACTCAGATCTACCACATTATTTTTCAACATTTTAATTCTGTTTCATCACTAAAACATTGCATTGAGACATTTATGTGCTGTAGCAAATTTATACAAATTAAATTAACAGCTGGATCAGCATCAAAATACAGCGCCCTCATACTTGGCTACTAAACCTTACCTGGAACAAATAATGTTGGGAATGGCTCCAGTTTAGCTATAGTGCTGTGCGTTATAGAAACAGGTTCAGTCCATGACACACCTAAGTCGTAACTCTATAAAACAAAAACAACAACAATTGTAACTCTATAAAACAAAAACAACAACAATCATATGCATGTGTGTGTGTATATATATATATATATATATGTGTATGTGTATATATATATGTATATATATATGTGTATGTGTATGTATGCGATATGCACACATATGTGTATATGCAGTATACAGTATACTCATGCTTATCTTTAAGGGTCTTATTGTGACAAGTGTTTTAGCACTTCTAGATTATGATCATCCTCACAATTTATACTTTTATTTACAATCTAATGGATATGTATACTCAAGTTTGGTAGTTTGGAAATAAATGTCACGAAATGAAATGAATTGTATCAACTTCAAAATAACTTCCATTTCATTCTACATTCTTGCATGATTAAGTTATGCTTGTTAAATTACTAGAGTTATATACATTCATAAAACAGGTTGAAACATGCAATTCTATTCATTTTGCACTCAATTCTCAGACAATGTGATGTGAAACTTGAAATTTTAGATTGAATTTTAAAAATTCCACATGCATTAACAATTGTATACCATTTTTAACATTCATATATACACTTTTTCCATTAATTTGACATCACTTATGTTTGGTATTTTTTCAATGATAAATTTATTGGCTTAAATCTTTGATCGTCATTGGTGTTTGCTATTCTTATTTTGTATTTAAAATTCTTTAGACTACTGTAGATGATTTCTTTAGAAAAGATGATGAATGTAAAAATATTATATAATATCAATATCAATATTGTGAAATCAAATCATGACACTGAGTCCCACTTTTATAGGGACGCAGCACCCCTTTTTACTCATTGGTGAATATAGGCAACAATACAGAAATATCTTGCTTCATAACAAATCATCTGAACAATTTATTTTTTATTATTTTAGTTCATTAAAATATGATTGCAGACTTAAACTTGTTTCTGTCATTAGGCCAACAAACTACACCAGTCTTGCTTTTAGAGTACAATGCACTGTAAAAAGAAAGCAATTGAAATCTGTGGAGGCAGATAATTATAATTTATACTGTGGCATTGCAGATTTCTATCATTATTTTCAAGGATCAGTAAATATTTGTTGACATGCATATCATGAATTTATTTCCTAAAATTATTTTCAAGAGTACAATGATGTTTTGTTCAATTTCTGTCACTATATCTTTACCTTTCAATAAACACAAACTAGCAGGGAACACAAGATGCAGTACTGAAGAGTTTTTCACATATCAATTGGCCAGGATACAAATTTACACACTGGTTGTTCAGAAAATCGGACCAAACTTATATTTTTAACTTGTGGTATATAGTGGTCCAAATTCTGAAAGTCACGGTCCATTTTTGAATTGGAGTTTGTGGATTGATAAACACGATAAAAGAATCCTCTGTTGATAATTATTTGGATTCATTACGAAGTTGAAATGTAAAGTTTGGCATAGCTTTTAACATCATTTTTATGATTTCCACTGGCTTTGCTGTTTGAATTGTTTGTGATTATTCTATCTGATTATTAATCATTTTTAGCAGTTATTTCCGAATTCTATACAGTAGCTTCTATATGGCCATATTTTATGTAGCACTAATTATGATATTCATAACAACAATAATAATAAATCAATTTACCTTAACTACATATACATCAGAAAGAGGTTTTCCCTGAAATTCCAACATCTGTTGAAAGTCCATATCAGTTGGGAATGTACTAAACACAACAAGAATTACATCACGCTTTCTGTCTACCACAGGACTGGGGTTCATCGTCCTGGCAATGGCAAAAATAGAAACACTTTTAAATCAACTGGTCTTTGAATGTCAATATATTTTCAAAATATTACTCTCAATTTTAACTGCCTAAATATACAATTATTAAAATATAATAATTCAATTCAATTCAATTCAATATTTATTGTCAAACACAGTAAAATATATGGTTTTAAATTCAAGTTGTTTGTTCACAGATTAATAATAATTTAATACACTTGTATGCAAGCCCTGATTGAATAGTCAAGGGAAACTACGGGTTGGTCATATTGTGAAAGAAATTAAGGACTATGTAGATGGTGGGTTACGGCAAAGAGTATAAATAGAACAAGAGAGCCATATACGCTCATTCATAGAGTAAAAAAGGACATGCAATACACAGCCAGTTTCCGTTTGTATGCACTTTATTACCCACTACTTCATCGTGTGCGATGGTATGACGATTAAAAAAAAAATAAGGAAATCTACCGCTACCGCTCTACAAAAATATATTGTGTCATGTGAAAAACAGACACACAAACAAACCACGCACGGTGCAGTACTGGTAGTGCATACAAATGACAACGGGCATCCTACACTAGGGAGTGACGTGTTTACAAACGGGAGTACGCTCTCTTGTTCCATTTCTACTCTTTGGTTGCAGCAGACCTAACCAGGTGGAAAAGAAGAGTGAAACATAACACATGTCAGGGGATGAGAAGAAGCTTTATTGATGACAATGAGTAATTTAATATTTAACACTTTTACTGCCTTTTACAAACAATAACTTTAATAACTTTTATAATTTTATTTATTATTTTATTTAATATTTGATTTTAATAAATAAGGATAAATTGAGATAAATACAATGACAAATATGGGCTTTGCTTCCTATTTTTATAGGTTCCTGGTTCCTGAAAGAAAACAGTAGTTGTCCTTCACTGTGAACCAAAAAGTTATAAGTGAACCAAATTATAAAAACAAAATGTACAATAAAAAAAATATAAACTAAAGGTAGCAGTGGATTCACTTGACCTGACATAAGGCAATGAAGCAATGACCTGTTGCTTTTCCCAATCCACCTCTAAACCATGCCGAATTCCTCGTTTAACAACAATTTTCATCCGACCATAATCTTGGCTACCTTCTAATCTAGCCTCGCAGAAAACTAAAAAAATTCCTTGATGATAAACTAAAGCTGGTATTCTGCAAAAATAATGTAACATATAAATGAATTATTACAATAAGTTTGTATACAATAAAATTTAAAGTATAAGAAAAGATTAAAAAGAAGGGTAGTTTGCAGGTTTTACATCATAATGTACTGAATAATCTGCTATAGTCATTATCATAAGTATGAGAGGAGAGTGCCATGTTAAATTATGCAGAATATATTTGCTTATGCACAATATAAACGTAGAGAAGCAGATGGCACATGTTGGTTTGGGCTTTTTATCTTGAGGTGAAAGGTTAACAAATTCGTTACTGTGGATTTTGCTTGTGTCCTTGGACGAAGCATTATAAAGTATTAATTGGTACATACTGCAAGTAGTTCCTTGAGACATTGGTTTAGTTTATAATATATGGCAGGAAAAATAGGTTTACTCTCTAGGTCCCAAACAAATTTTGCACTTTTGGCTTGTTATAGATCCAGTGAGAAGAGATAAAAATAAAGTTGCTATGTTTATGTAGCCTTGTGCTACTTAAGACGAGCCTAAAATAAGGCTACAAATGCAGGACTGGTGCAATTTGTAAGGCATACAGTAACATATGCTCTAAACCATGGAATACATGGATTCCTTTTTCAATTATTTCTCTGCTGCTTCCCTTGTGTCTCAGCTGGAGAGAAATTTTGGGCCACTGGTTTTAGTGGGAATTGAGGCCCATGAGCAAGTAACAAAGCGAAGAGATATATATCAAATATGCGAGTATAATAAAGGAAGGTATTTAACTATTACTTGGATAATAATTCTTACCTTGCTTTAAATAGTGTAAAGGATGGAGACTGGTAATCAGACTGTGTATATACAACTGTAATACAAATTTGTACATGATGTAAATATAAATATCAAATATAGTGGAATTAATCCTTCGACTGTCGAATTGTGATTTTCTTTCTTTTCTTTTATCTGTTGAGATACTTTATTCCTTTATTTATAATGATGGTAATATTGTAGTATTAATGGTGGTATGATGGTAAGAGTGATAATTATGGTGATTATTGTTGTTATTATTATTATTGTTGTTATTATTATCGTTGTTATTATTATTATCATTGTTATTATTATTATTATTATTATATATACATTTATATAATTTTGCTGATGATATTTTTAATCTCTTGCTTATCTTGTTTGTTTCATCTTTTTGATGTTTGTAAGCTCAACGTTTTCAGCTGCCGGGCTGCTTGTTGTGCAATTTTATACCATAATAAATAAATAAATAAATAAATAAATAAATAAATAAATAAATAAATAGTGTCATCATAATCATATATTCACTGCCCATACTGCTGCCATCATCACTGTCGTCATAAGTTTTGCCTTATAATTAAATATTCATCAGCATTCAAAAGTGTTGTTGTACCGGATCTGTGGTCAATCAAGTATAAAGATCTGGTACCGCATCCATTTATTGATAGTTGTGGAGATCCAGTACCAGAAAAGTTTTAAACATCCAATACCCCCTGTTGACCTATGCCTAAAACACATGCCTGCTGTATGCTATGCCTTTCTTTAGATCCAACAAACCAAGTTTTAGTGGGGATCTAGCCTGTTTTATACCAGTCTCTAATTCTATACTACATTCTAAGAAATATTCGTGAAAGCCGGTATGGTTTTCATGGAATGTTGACCAGTAATGCTGAAGTTAAAATGTGTACATGATTTTATTTTTGCTTACTGACATGGGCTGTAAAATGGCATTTTGTTTGATTGGTTTTTATGTGGAACTTTTGGTTTAGTACAAATAAATATTAAACCAAGGATTTTCAACTATATATTATGACAGAGGCCAAATCTGTAGATAAAATTAATTTGTGAAGATCCAACATGCAAAGTCATGAAGCAACCTATGTTTGGTCTAATCGGGTGTGCCCACTGCCACATGAAAAAATTATTACCTATATTGGATATTCCTAAGCTCAAATTTTACTCAACTATTACTAATAGCTGTCTATAAAAATAGGTTCATTCTGAAAATTTTCTTTAATTTATTTTCTGGTGCAATATTTCTTCCCATTTGATTGATTGTAGGGCAATATATATAAAACAAAAAATATTTCAATTGGTTTGTTTTAGCTGGCTGGATAACATGCACTCACAGGCCACCAGTTGAGAATTCCTGTATTAAACATCTGGTTGTGTTATTTTTTGCTTTACTAGCTACATATTTATGTTGTTTATGTGACATGGAATTTTGAATTTTATTTAATATTTAATATCAATTCTTTATTTGTCCTCTTTCAAATTTGAAATCAGAAACATGGGCTGTGTCCTTGGGGACCTGAGGCAACCGCCATGCAGCTCCACTTGACCTAACTACAACATGCAACGAGTACATATGCAAGTTATGAATAGGCCGGCAATGTTCCTGAAATTGCCTGTAAATGGTGCGGTGATGTGTGAGGTGTTTCTTTTCCGGTAGTTATAAGGTTTATTGTAATTTTTTGGTTCCATCCTTCTTTAGTGCCTTGAGCACTACTGCAGTGGATATGTGCGCTTTCAAATCAAATCAAATCATTTATATTGCACCATTCCAACAATCGTTGCTCGTGGTGCAGTGGACAAGATGTTGCTTTTTTTCAATAACATTCTCCTCCCCCAAGGGTCGCTTCATGTCCTCTGCAGCCGGTAAACCGGCACACCTTTCATCTGTCCATGACAGGAGCCGAATGGACCAGTACACCGGGGTACCCCCCCCCTACTCGTCTCGAAAGATATACTGGGTTCTTTAAAGTGCACATGAGCATTTGTGTACACTGGGGCTATGGATTATAGTTCTTATCCAAGAAGACTTGTTCCACCGCCAGAACTAGGAGTGAGGCGGCTGCGAACCCATGTTGGTATTGTTGGCTATGGTTACGGTGCCCCTACCTTAACCGCTAAGCCATTCGACTCGCTTTATAAATCTTATTATTATTACAAGGGCATGGATACAAACAAAGAATACAATATTCTTCTTACCTTTAGATGGGGATTCCCACGCCCTCTTAATATCTAAGCTATGTTTGATATAGCTATCAAATACAGGATTCACTTTAATGGTTGAATTACCATCAGCAGTATGTATTTCACATTTTTCTAAAAAAAAATAAAAATAAAAAAAATAAAATCAGTTTATGGCTTGATACATTAGATGTAAATTATGAATAAAATATATGTACTGCAACATTGCATAATACTCCTTGTACAGTACAGGTACACTACAAGCATTATCCTGCATCAGTCTATACACATGGAAGGATCAATAGTGTTTTGCTCAGTATAAAGGGAAAATTCGGACAAACGCCAACCTGCCACGAAGTGAAATTCATCCACATCATTAATCTGTAGTTTTTAATGCCAAAACTTGATGCAGTGGTGTAAATGGATTTGCCTCTGAACTTTGCTTGTACAGCGTACCCTCCAAATCGAGTCCCCTCAAATCAAAGATCTTATAAACACAAGATAGCGTTCTCCGGGATTTACGCGTGCAAATTCTGTAATAAGGCATGAATGGCGCCCTCTTGCTAAATTGGAAACTTTTGACCCTTGACCGCTGTGATCTGACCATACAGTACACTGCCTGTGAACAGCAGAACAGGAACCGTCTCAGATCCATGGCAACAGATAGGACGCCCTCTTCCAAAACTTATTACTTTTTCTCTTCGGTAATAGCGCATGAATGGCGCCCTCTTGCTAAATGGGAAACTTTTGAACCTTGACCGACGCTTCTATTTGTTACGCGTAAATCGCGGAGAACGCTATCTTGTGTTTATAAGATCTTTGCCTCAAATACAATGATGTCTCCAATCCGAGACCACTTATATTCAGAGAACCAAATAACACAAAGATAACCCTCTAAATGGAGGCAAACCCTCAGTCCACCTGAATGTTTCAAGTCACAATAGTGGTCTAAAATTGAGGTTATTTTGACTAAATAATTTGCAAATATAGAGCTTCCAATAGTAATTTTATAATTATTACAGAATAATCAGTGATCTACTTATTCCTTTTTGATAATTAAAATTTGTTGCAAACTACGCCTTAACAGGGTCAATTGCACTAAAAGTAGTTTTATTCACCGACTAGCCATTTTTTTTTTATTACCTTATCTTTACTTTAATACCTAGGTGGCATATTTTCTGGGTGGGTTAATTCTTAGGTTTGTTAATATTATGTTGATATTATTACTTTTCATTTTTTATATTTTGGCTGTTAACGTATTGTAAATATTAATGATTTCTATTGTACAACTTATTATTATGATGCAATTTGATTGACATTTAATATGCTGTTGGATTTTAGATTCACAGAATTTTAGCTTCGCATATGTCTATTTTATTGTAATTTACATTTGAACAACCCTATTTTAATGGAATATGCGCAAAATAAATTAACACAAATAATTATTATCTTTTAAACATGTTACTGTACGATTATGTGTTCTGTCAGTACTATTTTTGTAATGTATTTATATGTATGCAATATGTATAAATTTCAAATATATAACTTTATCAATAATTAATTTCTACAGTATTTTTAATGTTTTTATTAAATAATGTATTTACTAAGGCATCCTGTAATGATGGATGATGATTTTAAATAAAAGAAAAGTATAATAAATTATAAGCAAAGATCATAAAAAATTTTATGGAAAATACGCGAAAGAAGGCAGTGTTTTTTACTTTTGTCATTACCAACGCTGGATGTTAATGTTAGTGTAAACCCCCATTCCGCAAACTTTTCAGCCCAGAACCCAAATCAAATGTCAATCACTCACATGTGACCCAACAGACCCGAAAGGCTAAATGTATCACATGAATTTTCATTGAGTGATTAAGTCAATTAATCCCGTCCGTCATTTTTTATACGTGCGAAGGATAGCAGAAATTAGAAGAACCATGCCAGCTTGATTCTTTTGTCAACCAGTATAAAGATACAACTTCATTCACAAAAGATTCTTCAAATCACCCACAAACTAAATTTAAATACCTTAAAATGAAATGAATATGACTTTGATTACTCATATAACATTAATAGAACCACATAAGTTATCAAATCTTTCAATAGGTTACAGATCAAAAAAATTAATGACATTGATTTACAGACATTTACTACAAAAATTCATAGATTTAGCCAGAAATATATGAGTTAATGGAAGATATAGAGACATTTAATTGATGAGGAAAAAATTAAAATTTTTATCTGAAAGCTAATCACATTGAAATATTCAAGTCGTCATACCTAAAGTAGAAATGTTTTGATAGTATAATTGAAAATGATTGATAACACATGCATTACAAAAGTAAACCCACTCATATGCCACACCTTTATGCACGTTTGTTTACTGAAATTTTCATTTCATTGTTAAATTTTCCATGATCTGAAAAAATTATGTGACCCATCAAAATTTTTCTGCAACCTGGGTCGTGACTCTTAGGTTGCAGTACGGTGGTGTAAAAACTGTATGATAGATCACACAGCATATTTTGGCCTAGTGTAAATTAACTCCCTATGCCAATCCATGTCATACCAGGTGTTTCTTTTGCTTGGAAGCATAATGGATTTTAATGTAATACTGAAGATGCAATGTAAATTTTATAGTTCATCTGTCTTCTAATAAGCCTTCTATAATGTGAGAATAATTATATTTTAAACTTAAAACAATTTGCAATTAAACATATTATTATATTGAAGAAAAGAAAAACTTCCACAAAAATCCTTTTGCGCCATGCATAAAAAAAAATGTTTATAATTTAAATTGTTTGCTGAATTAAAAATAATTAACGACTATTTCAGTACTATTAATAATTTACAATATAAACATTTTACAGAGTATAATTGTTCACAGAAAGCAGACAAAATTTTTTTTTTATTTATCGTTTTATAAACTGCTTTGTTTCAACCATGGCGTTTAGTATGAGTAAGAGAGCACATTCCAAGTTATGATAAAAAAAAACGGATACAGTAACAACATTGGTTTGGTAAACAATTACATAACCTTGATGAGTACTACAGTAGTTGAAACGGCAATGCTAAAAAGTACTGCTAAACCTTCACACTATAAATTTGACTGTTATACATTCCAATACTCACCCTGCAAAACACCTAAAAGAGGACAGTTATTAAATGTATTCCTCAGCGTATCGCCTAACTGCCATATTTTGTTGTTGGAATAGCGCATCATGAATGGTATCTTACTGCCCAGGTCAAACTGTAGGTAGCTAAACATCATTAAGAATGAGAACGAAGATAGGAACATCAACAGAACAAACAGCTGCTGCAGGTGCCGGGTTGAGTACAGACACATCTTGTATACCGTGGTGTAAAAATTTGATAAAATTAACTTCCCATCCTTCATCAATGCATCACAGTATTCAAAAAGGCCATGCTACAATACAATCATTCATTTATTAAACATTTAGTTACACAAAGAAAGTAAAATAAACAATTCTGATCAATGTTTGGAATTTAACTAAGGCAAGAATAAAGATAACCCATATTGACAAGTCCTCGTAAAAAAAGAAATAAACATAATTGGAATACCGTATACCCTCAAATTTAAGCCCTGGGCTTTTTTTTCCTTGCAAAATTTGGATGGGCTTCTTTTCGATGCTACTTTTTTGCAAAGTAACAAGGGGGGACTTCTTTTCAAAATGAATACAGTAAATTTTGCAAATATCTCTAGAAAGATAAGTTAAAGTCAGTGAATCCAAACACAAGGTATGTTTTATATTATATATTTTTCAGACAAACACACATACACAAAATATATAGCAGTACTAGAGGCCTAGATAAAGAGCTTACTCTGCTCCCTGCTCTAGTCTAGACTCAGGCCTATGCTCGCACTATTACTACCAGGTTCAGAAGGAAGTCAATTCAGCCACAAGCCAACTCAGCCACAGCAAAACTTGACCACATTCAGCTCGGCCACAAGTCAACTCAGCCGCAAATTACAGCCTACTACTACACTGGTTTTGACTCGGGAATAACTGATATTAATTAATGGGCTCGCTATATAAAATACTAATTCTTGTTTGAAATAATATTATCATTTACATTATTAACTTGTCTCTCTAAAACTATTATTTTTAACGCTTTTTAACAATTATTTTTATAAGTTATAATGGTGAAAATTCTGTGGCAATTTTTATTCGGCCTATAAATAATTTAAAAATTGTAACAATGAAAGTGATTTATGTTTAATTATCAGTGGCTATTTTTCTTATGCTATATTTTCATACTTCATTGCTATTTTGCCATTATTTTACTTGTCTATTGCATTTATTTTCTACATATTAATGGACTTTAAAATTGATTAAACATTTCAAACCCCTAAATTCTCAATTTTCTTTTGGGGAGGGGGAAGGGGGAACTTCCCCCAGGACCAATTTCAAAAGATTTTAAGTGAAGCTCAACTACGCTTTAATTTGCTCCGGTCGGGGACATCGGATCCCCTCTTCGGGGGTGCCACCCCTGAGGAGAAAAAATAATACAGATGATGTTTCCCTAGGGAGGTATAAAAACCCTGGTTTCCCTACCTGATGTGTTACGGTACGCTCAGGGCAGACCTCCCTAGTTTGCAGGTTCCCCAAAATTGTTAGTTTTTCCCAGAAAATATAGAATTTTAATTGTGAATATTAAAATTGCTTTTAAGAGTATAACTTTAAAAATTATTAAACTAATTTTTTAAAATCAAATATACTTTTATAGGGCCTATCTGCATTTCTTAAAATACTATGCAATAAAGTTTCAGTTTAACTAACTGAACATTTCACTGAGGCCTATTTGTTTTCGTGGCTAGATTAGCCAGTCGTCTATTAGCATCTGGCCTACTTTCCTGAAGGCGGTGTACAAAGAGTGTGTCTGCCTCAACCTGAGTACCGTGGAACCCACTTGTGGGAACATTTCTTTCCTTTTTATAGTAAAAGTACTGGTACAGGTAACAGACCAAATCGGCGCCTCAAGCTGTTACTGGTAATGCGACATATAGTGAGTACTAAATGTAAACAGCCACAGCGTAAACCACAATTCCCTCAGTTTGAACACAGTATATTGACAGATTTATGTTTTTTAGACAGCGACCCAAAGTAAAGTAAGCCAGTAGGCCTATAATTTTTTTTAATAGTGATTTATAATTACTTTGGCAATCTCTGTGCATTTTATTTAGGCTCTGGAATACTGCTAAGCTACATACAGGAATAGGCCTAGGCTGCACTGTAGTGTTAAGCCTTGACCAGGGCCTGGACCAGGGAGGGAGTTGTTATGCCTCGACTATATATCAAGTAGGTAATAAAGTAGAAAATAACCCTTAACGGTAGTGATTGCTCAACCGAACTTGGTCTTAGAAACATGCTGGTGATATAGGCCTGTTGGTAGGCCTATGGGACCTCCTAATGCCAGTACGTAATAATAATATTTGTTTATGTGTTCATATGATTATCATCATCCTCAACAGTAACTACTAACATCCAATGATTTAATTTTGGATTTAATATAACTGTTATAATACTCTTGCAACAAATAGGGAGATTCGTTTTTTTTTGTTTTTTTTTACATGCTGCGATAGCATTTGCTATGAATAATATTCCTGACTTAGGCCTAGGCCTAAAAAGTACATATGTGTAATTTCAAAGAGTAAGATCGGGTGACACTTAAAGAGTGCCGAAGGCACGAACAGTGGCTGGGGGCCAGGGGGCCGCCAAGGTCTGGCTTAAATGGCATATCTAATCGATATTAGTGAGTTTATAATGATATCAGATTCGGTAGTTATTGAAACATGGAGGTAGAATGTTATGATGATGAATGTTAGTTGTAGTAAAATTCATTACAAATTGAAAAAGAAACAAAACAAAATTTACTCAAATTTTAAGATAAGCGCAAGTTTTCATTTTGTCTATATTTTAAAGTGTTACAGTATTTATTATTATTATTATTATTATTTTGCGTTTTTTTACTCTAAGACATAGCCTCATTTTGTCTGTATTTGAAAGTTTTATTTATATTTTAATGTTTCCCCCAATCTTTTTACAGTGGCAGATCCAGGGGGGTTCAGGGGGTTCGGACGAACCCCCCTCTGTGAAGAAACGTAACAAAATACTACTGGGTCCTGGCTTACAAAATTCATGCTAACTACTGGAGATGCCAATCCAGAACTTCGCCCACTTCGCCCAGGCGAAGGTTAGGGTGAGAAATCAAAATTAAATGTTGACCATTTTTTCCAACAATCATACTGTACTTTACTTTCCTTGACACTTATTTTGAACATTACCATTAGGAAAATGTTTAAATCCACCCTATCCTATACCTTACACTTTTAAACTGATTGTACCAGAGAGAGGTACATTCCCAATAAATTATGGTCTTCCACTTCTATAGCGCATGATACAGTATATGCATAGCAAACGTTATGTAACCACTAATAATACACAGGTCCAGTGGCGTAGGTATGGGCAGTGCAGTATTGGGGGCTCATTCAATAGGTCTAATCTGGTCTAATGATCTAAAAATATAACTTTAAAAAATCCTATTTAAACTTTAAAAGGACCCTTCAATAATATTAGGTTTTAGAAGCTATAATATTGATTATATTCATTACAATTTACCTATTACCAATTTCCCACACGCTGCAAGTTAAAAAACCCAACAAAACAAACCCTTACATACGATGCACTAATGTACTTTTTGAAATCACATTTCTAAAGCAATAAAATATCATCACGCACATTTGTGTTTGTGTTATTTTAAAGTTGGTTCAACTATTATTGTGTACGTTTTTAAACACAAGTTTCAGATCATCTTAACTTCACGAACACATTTTAGATTCACTTCACTGCAAGCAAGTCGATGAGTGTTGTATTATTGAATGGTAATTGTTATTATCGTGATGGAATAGACAATGTACAGTACCTGGATTTGCGTCAGGAGAATCAATTAGGTGGCCTTTATGTATTTTGCCCAACCTGTCGTGAATATGTATTGAATACTCAGTGCTTGATGCACTAATATACTTTTTGAAATCGCGTTTCTAAAGCATTAAAATATCGTCATGCACATTTGTATTTGTGGTATTTTAAAATTGGTTCAACTATTATTGTATATGATTTTAAACACTTCAGATCATCATAACTTTATGAATACATTTTAGATTCACTTCACTGCAAGTAGGTCTAGATGACTTTTCTATTATTGAATGGTAATTGTTATTATCGTGATGGAATAGACAATGTACCTGGACTTGCGTCAGGAGAATCAATTAGGGGGCCTATATGTATTTTGCCCAACCTGTCGTGAATATGTATTGAATACTCAGTGCTTGATGCACTAATATACTTTTTGAAATCGCGTTTCTAAAGCATTAAAATATCGTCATGCACATTTGTATTTGTGGTATTTTAAAATTGGTTCAACTATTATTGTATATGATTTTAAACACTTCAGATCATCATAACTTTATGAATACATTTTAGATTCACTTCACTGCAAGTAGGTCTAGATGACTGTTCTATTATTGAATGGTAATTGTTATTATCGTGATGGAATAGACAATGTATCTGGATTTGCGTCAGGAGAATCAATTAGGTGGCCTTTATGTATTTTGCCCAACCTGTCGTGAATATGTATTGAATACTCAGTGCTTGATGCACTAATATACTTTTTGAAATCGCGTTTCTAAAGCATTAAAATATCGTCATGCACATTTGTATTTGTGGTATTTTAAAATTGGTTCAACTATTATTGTATATGATTTTAAACACTTTAGATCATCATAACTTTATGAATACATTTTAGATTCACTTCACTGCAATTAGGTCTAGATGACTGTTCTATTATTGAATGGTAATTGTTATTATCGTGATGGAATAAACAATACTTGGATTTGCGTCAGGAGAATCAATTAGGGGGGACTATATGTGTAATTTTACCCAACTTGTCGTGAAAATGTACTGAATACTCAGTGCGTGTGAAAGTTGTTTTCCAGTGGCTGGTACTCGAACCCTGTTTTCCAGTTCTCCAGATCACTAGCCTGGCATCAAACTTCTACAGTAGATCACAGAGGTTGCAACTGATGGCCAGGGTTGAATTCGAGCCCAAGTAAGCAGCGAGTACAATTTTTGCAAGTGTTTTCACACGCACTGAGTAGGCCTATTCAGTAGGCCTACATTTCACGACGGGTTGGACAAAATTCCACCTATATATGTTCTATTGATGTTGTCAATATTATAATATATCATAGATTCATGAAATGCCTAATAGGCCCTAAACGTTAACATATATATAACTTGACCATAGTTTGTTCTCAATATTCTTGAATTTTTTATACAAAATATTTTTTAGATATTTCTAAAATGCCGTATCTGTTTTAAAATATCTCAGAATGTATGAGCATTAAGAGTTTCGCCTGAGTAGACCCCACTAAAGACTCTGTCTCTAGGTCCGATCAAGTGCAGTTTTACCAATTTTACCTAGGGCCCGGCAGTTATCTATGCCATAGTTACCACGGTAGCCAATCATTTCGGTCGCGCTTTGTTTCGGTCGCACTTTGTTTCGGTCGCGCTTCGTTTCGGTTGCGGTTTATTTCGAACAAATATATGGAGCGCCGAAGGAGTTGCGAAAACGAAAAATTTAATATGCCTAGGCCCTATATATTTTAGTTCGTGAATCGGTTTATCATAGGCCCTGTCTCTTATACACATCTAGATGTGTATAAGAGACAGCACCTATATATTTTAGTTCGTGAATCGGTTTATCATAGGCCTAAGTATTATTGTTTTGCTATCTTTCCACTAACAAAATATCTTTCTACTATATTCTCTTTCTTCCATTTACGGTGATATATTCATGATTGCAACATGATCTTGTAATTGAAAAAATGGAATTTAGTATGTGCTTCATATGCTATTCTTTTTGTTGCGTTTTCATATTCTATACTTTAATAAATGGTCAATAAAATGTATCTTTGATTTTAATTGAATTGAATATTGTTACCATCTGAAATCTATTTCATAATAATAATAATAATAATATATAACATCATATCATATTTTAGTATTTATTTCACTTGCTGTATTTGTTATGTAGTAAAAAGGCTAGGATTCATAACAAAACGAAAATAAAAACAAAAACAAACTTTAATACTAATAAAAATAATTGTTAATAAACTAATGTTACAGTAATTTAAATGACAAATTGGTTGGTTTTTCCAGATACAATGTAAATAAAAATAATAATATAATAATAATATTAATAATAATAATAATATATAATCATATCATATTTTAGTATTTATTTTATTTGCTGTATTTGTTATGTAGTAGAAAGCGTAGGATTCATAACAAAACGAAAATAAAAACCGTCCGATAATATTAATTGATAGTTTAGTAATAATAGTATTTATTTTATTTGCTTTTAAGTAGCCTGTTGTTACTTATTAGAAATACAACAAAACATAAATAAAAAAAGTATGATAAACCGATTGACGAACTTGCAATGATAATTAGGCCAAGTTATATTAAATTTAGCGTTTCGAAACTCCATTGGCGTTCCATATATTTGTTGAAAACAAACCGCGACCGAAACGAAGCGCGACCGAAATGATCTGTATTCGTTACCAACCGTCACGTCGTGCGGGACAGTCCCGCGTTTCAAAGTGATTTTGGATGAAACACGCATTTTGCAGAAGCACATGCGAGATCATAAATGTGTCACGCATTTAGCACTTGCGTGATAACGAATTATCACAAATTCAGGAGAAAACGTATTTAAAATTAGAGTTGACATGGGGGTCGAGTTGACTCGAATTCCTTTTCCCTCCCTGCCTTGGCTTTTTATACTAGTCCTAGGCATATAGCCTAGCTAGAGCAGAGAGAAGGTTCGCCTAACTTTTTGTTGGATTTCCTTCCTAGTTGATGAACATACAACAAAATAAATAAAACCCCACCTTGTTTACCTTCCAAACTTTCTGCCCAGCACCAAAAAAGACCAGGCCTACGTTTTTAGGGCCCGCACACTAGGCCTACCCACCAGCTGATGACTTCACAAGAATAGCAGAAGAATAAGCTGCTCCGCGTATTTGTATTAAAATTGATGGAGCATCCGCCCTCCCGCGAATGGGGTAAAATTTGAACATTTTACTAAGTGGAGAAACTACAGGAAACAAACAAACCAGAGCGGCGCCTTTATTATTACTATATAGCGCCGCCGCGCGGATGGAGTAAAATTGCTCTCCGTGTACCCACAATGCCTTTTGAACGGATGTTCCATTTTATTGGGAAACTGCTCTATCTCCTGCTATTTATTATCTTTGCCACAAGCATAGAGCTACTGGCTTTCCTTTTTTTTTTTGCATTCCTGGTTAATTTGCTTTTCTTTATATGATTTGTTTTTGTATTGGTTGTTACTTTTGTATCTTAGTTGTTACTGTTGTTAGACCGCACCACAAGAGTTGTGTTTGCCACCGTTCTAAAGAGTAAAGGTGAAGTGTCAATAGATAAATAAAGAGCTGTCATATCTTATTATATCTCTATGCCTCCTCTATGGCCACAAGTCATTTCTCATTCTGGACAACGCCACCAACGAGTAAGATAAAATTTAGAGATAAACATAGAGGTATGGAGATAAATAAGAAAAAAGAAAATCGAGTATGGGACGCCAAAGCTGATGATGCGGGTCTAAAGCATGTCCGAAAACAAACTTCAGACAAACTTTATAGAATGGCGCACCACAACAAACTTCATAATTTCACTGTTCCCTGACCCAACCAAGTAGTGGTGAGATATGTGCAGCTATTTCGAAAGCGATTTGCAAATAAATATTCTTAGTATTGTAGTAGCAGCCGCGTAGCAGTAGAATTGTAAATACAGTTCGCTTTTTCATTCAAGGCAACTTAACCTTTAAGTTTAAACCTGTAAGATTGGGGTGGTTCCGGGTTTAGGCTCCAATAGGCCTACGTATTAGAAATGGGGACTATGTCTAAACAGTGGTAATAGTCTCCAAATTTAAACTTTAGTGTTAAAAAGAATATTTATTTATTTCTTTAATTTTATTTTTTATGTTAGCCTAAAAATTTCAAGGTCTAAAATTCAGTGGCTATATAACAGGGCAAAGTTCATCTGTGAGTTTTGAAGAAGCCAACACATTTTAGAAAAGCTGTTGATGCTCAGCTGGCCACATAAAAACAATGATTGTTACCACTATTAGTGAACAGGGTGTACAGGTACAGTACCATACAAAATAGGTGTACGTTTTAATGGGCAACAAAAGTGCAAGCCATTGAAAATCAAGGTAATAAAATCGGGACGCATACCAAATGCTGACGTGGTAGCATCGTAGTTCTCATACACATATCCGGTCGAGGTGGGCGATGTTTCGACACATTTGCACAGTTAACTGAGTTCGAGTTAAAACTCCTATACACTCGTGGCTTTGTAAACAACGAATAAAGCACTTGCTAAAGTTCTGCGAAAGTATTTTTGTAAACAAACATTAATGAGCTGGTGACATTAAGCGTTCATACATGATGAATTTGTAACTCTTCTCCTTGAACATTAAATTATGAGTATTGTTAATGACCATTTTATTGACTCTTATTTGCTGGTATTCAGTGTTTACAAAGAACAAAAATCAAGTGTTCTTTGCTTAGGGCCTAATAATCAAGTTAATTAAATCGTTTACATACGTGGTGATAAGGGTGGTTAATTTTTTTCCAAAAGCGTGACGATTCCAACTCTTGTTTCCACACGCGCTATTTAAGAGAGGCCAATATAATTGATATTGTTTTAATTTCTAAAATATTCATAGGACGCAAAAGTTGACCTTAAAGTCATTCACACTGCTTTTCATTTTTAGTAGACATATAGTCTAATCATAGTCTACTGTAGGCTATATAGGACGTAGAGCTTAGGACATTTTGCTATAGGTAATAAAAATGTACAAAAATGGAATATACCATCGGTGACGTAATAAGACGAAGCTGAAGAGTTCCTGTAACTAATTCTGTCCACTCATTGTCCACTGACAAGCAACCGAATTCACAAGATGAACAAGACTTTGATTTTGGCCGTTCTTCTTATTTTACTGATCTCTTTGGCCACGGCTCATAAGAAGGGACGTAAAAGTAGAAAAGGTTTGTGCAAACTTGAGATACAGTATACGTAATCGTTATAAAACTATGTGAATATATTATTAGAGTTTTGCTAAAATGGCTAAACACACTGTTTGGAGCCTGTTTGGATAGAAATTCCAAAATTTGGAATACCGTATTTATTGGAATAAACGCCCGGGGCGTTTATTGTTGAGAATGTTTTTATGGGGGCGGGGCGTTTATTAGGGGGAGGCGTTTATTTCGTTTATTTGTGTGTAAAATAGATATGTATACTCAAATAAACGCCCCTTAGTTATGTAAGTAAATATGGACCAACTGGGTTCGAAGTTCAGAGCCGTTTGGATTGCAACTTCTGTATTGTTTGAAGGTTTAGGGCTAGGCCAGCTGCCACCAACCAGCACGTCCAATTTGCGTGAAATCGTCGCAGATCTCAAAGATTTTATAGTGAACATAGGCCTACTATTAACCATTTTGTAAATATGTTTAGGCCTATTACAGAAAATAACAAATTTTATAATTAGTAGGCTACATTCTCGACCATCTTAAAAATGTGGTCATTTTCCGAGGGTGGGGTTCGATGAATGCGTTCTAACCCCCTCCCCCCACCCCCATCGGAAAATATCCCAGGTGGAACCAGAGGGTAGCACCCAGTGGGTAGCAAAATCTAAATAGCAGGCTTTTTAGCAATTTGCTTCGGCTGCAAACAATAGGCTATTTGAGATATTGCAAAACCACGTTACAGCATCTGCCTTTTGGATTTAGATCTTTGACTAATATAATATTACGTTACAAGGTTAATTGGTCTGGGAATAGAGGCGTGTTGTGGTCTGTGTGGGACTTAACTACTCCTTATAATAAATCTCAATTGCATAGACATCACAAGATAACATGTTTGTTCTTTTTAGGGATGTACTTGTTTCAATTATTTAATAATACATGAACAGTCGTTTTTGGTTTTTTTTTTCATTTTTAGTGACATTGAAATAATGAGCTAGGAATTACATTACATTCACGTGAGGAGATGTGAATTACGTCTAATAAAACGCATATCCTAGAGTGATTTGTATTCTTTAATCGCAGGTTATATTTATTTTTAGAAAATGTCTATTAATATGTTTCCGAGCGGAAATTTGAAGGTCTTGGGTTCAAATCCCGATAGGAACAATACGTTTTTCTCAAATTCCGTGAATTGCATAGACCATAGAGAAAATAGATATGCATAGACCTACTGAACTGTTCGTTTATGTAGTTGACCTGTCTATCCAAAAAATTTGTAGTAATATTATTAAAAGCCTCTACGGTGAAGAGCAATTTTTTCTGAAAAGTGCCGGGGTGAGGGGGAGGGGTTGGTCGGATAGATCGGAAGATCCCCCTACAGAAATGTTATAAATGTATAAAGTCAAAATTTCCCACAATTTTGCTAATTTAAATTTTATGTGGCAGAAATTACCTTAAAGACCAAAAAGATTGTAGATTCTTGCTTGTAAAATGCTACCTGAATCTTATGCTCCTTAGGGGACCACCTCCTTTACCCGTACTCAAAGTGAGTTCTGTTAAGTTCTTAAATTCTCCCCATTCCATGTAACTCAGGCTGGCTATGGGCCTGGGTGCTTAACCTTATCATTTAATTCTCATTGGTTGGTATAAACAGGCATCAGTATTCAGGGAAAATGATAATTCCAGGCATCGTAAAGTAAAGTACTTTTTTCGGGAGGTTCCAGACCGCTTTCTCCCTACCACCATATAGCGCCCCTTAATTTTTTGTTCATTGAGAGAAATTACACTTTTCACCGAGGCTGAAATTGCTTAAAAATTAAGAAAAACACATTGAGGCTGAGGTAAATTTAATGTCAAATGAGCTTTTAATTTTATTTTAAAAAACTAGAAAAACAAAAAAAGTATATCTGTACCTAATGTGCAGTAGGTGTTTTATATCTCCATGGTAATACCCTCTATAATAGAGTAGAGTAGGTGTACCTACCTGTCATTTGAGGCCATTTTTACCGGGCTTTTTTTTCTGGGGACATTTTTTCAGGGGCCATGTTTTCCAGGGCCACTTTTACCTATACAGTACATTCCAGTACAGTCCATACTGGTACAATAATAATTTTCTATGTTTGAAAAGTGTGTAATATAAGAACAAGATAAGAATATTTTGAGCCTGAAATCGGCCAAAAAGATAAGAACATTGAGCCTGTTGAAAATTTCCCCTTTTCATCCGCTACTGCTGCCAAGATTTTCACTCGTGTAGGCCTACTGTGAGAGGCAAATTGCCAAAGATCATTCAACTGAAATGCCGAATCATGAAATCCTGTGCATTGTGAAACATTGTGTTTGTTGTTAAATAAACTGTTTATAACATGAATCACCGTGTTTATAGTTGGCACACTGCTTGTCATCTATATGTTTTGATTTCAGTTAATTGCTCTTACGTCAATATTTAAATTTCACCGATTATGCTTTATATTCCAACTCGATTTTGTAAGCCCTGAATATTCGTTTTTTATATATACAACCGATCATATTCTACAAAGTACTGTCATATAAACTCTCCAAATCAAATCGAAATATTTATTATTCATTCTCTATTATTTTCCACATAAAAATGTAGGCCTACACAGGTGTAAATTGTTCATATTATGGTAAAATGTAAGGATTCTATAATTCACAGTGTATAATTTTGGGGTTTCAGCCTGCAAGTACAAGGTTGGAGAGTGGTCAGAATGTGATGAATCAGGAATGCAACAACGAACTTTGACCCATAGAAGAGGAAGTGCCAAACAATGTCCGGACAAGGTGATAAAAAAAGAGTGCAGAGAAGTTTCTTGGGCACAAATGAAGAGGAAGGAGAAGAAGTTAGGTATGAAGTGTTACTTGGACGAGGAAACACATTTTTTACTAATAATAAATTCAATAATAATAAAATATTAATAATAATGATAATGATGTCGATGATGATGACGGTGACCATGAAGACGACGAAACTGACAATGACAATGATAAATTGAGGATTGAGTTAGGCGTAAACACATTAGCTGAGAACGCTTTTCGAAAAATAGGCTTTACCTTGGCTTTACTCGGTGTTAAGAATAAGACCCTATAAAAATCCTTACATTCTTATTACTCGAAGGATAAATCAAAAGACTATATTATACTGTAAAAACTATTGTATTATAATAGTTCTCGTTCAAAGTTTCAATCAAATTTCTTTTAAATGACAGTAATATGTTAATCGGTTTATGCAAAATTCTGAATTTTTTTTATATGTGATATTTTAAAAGGGTTAAATTAGTTTCTGACTTTTCTTCTTTTTTTTGTTGTTAAGGATGCGAATATTCGAAAGGAAGCTGGGGATTGTGTAACAACACAAGTAATCTACGAGCACGCGTAGAAACTCTGATTGACCAAACATTGACCGAGAAAGGATGCCGGTCTGAGAGAGTTCTTGAAAAACCGTGCAAATTTGGTATTGTTATTTGTACTCTTGAACTTCCTAACATTATTTGAACAGGTCAATTTGTAGAACAAACTAAACTCTCATTAATTTGCTGAATGTTATTGTGAAAAAACTGAGGCTAAATATATTGGTGTAAATGTGAGCGCAAAGGTCCGCTCGAAAAAATGGGTTGGGATCATTTGCCAACAAAAAGCACACTCAGTGGGGTCCAGGGCTCCGGTGTGGTACAACAGAAAAGGATTTTAATTTGTCGTCTTATCTATGTAAAATTATTCTTTATTTAGCCTGTAGGTATACTCATGGCGAATGGAGTAATTGTAACAAGACGACTAATCAACGAACACGAGAATTGGCTCTAATAGAAGGAAGTCCCACCGACTGCGCACAGTCAGAGATCAAAACAAGAAAATGTCTCAACGTAAAAGGAAGAGGTAGGCCTATGTAATAATGTTGTCTCATCCATTGAGATATTATTCAAATCTAAAGAACAACAACAAGGATGATAATGAAGATGATGATAAATAATATCATCAACAATAACATTAGAACATTAACAATGACGACAATACATACGGTATACTTCTGAACACTATCTGCAGGTTACTGAAAGTTTGTCGGTCATTTCGTCCGTTTAGTACCAAATTTGGGCAAAACGACCCACTAAGTTGTAAAACGCCCCATACATACACATGTATCTATAAATATTTATATTGCAACACAATTTTAACAAAATTATTATCTCTGCAGAAAAATGCTTTTTTGGTACATGGTCTACATATAGTGAATGTGTCAATGGCGAAGTCACCAGAACTCGTGAAGTGCTTGCTGGCGGCCGCAGATGTCGAAAGAGGGCTTCACAATCGAAGAAGTGCACGGTCGCAACCGCGGCTTAAATTAAAAATTATTCAAAGGAGTTTCCATAGGTTATTGTACTTCCCAGCTAACAATACTATGTTCTAAGAACGTTATAATAACGTTACAGTTTGGTGATAAAAACGTTATTTTGAGGAACCATATGTACGTACTAATTCCACAACGTCACGACGTTTGAACGTGTTTACAACGTTGTGTGAACATTATTTTGTGACATATACCTAAGCACAACGTTCGAAAACGTTATAAGAAGGTTTTGTGTTTGTTATTTACTAATGTATCTAATGTTTATATTTGGGGTATGTGTTTATATACAGCAACAGTATTGTAAAGATTATCTTGTTTCGTATATTAACCTGACGATTCATGTTTCTTTTTTGGCTACCTGTATTTCCTAATGGATCAGCAATAATGATTAGACCTATCTTTTATAACGTATTTTTAATAGGCATACTTCCTATTATATTATTTACATGTTAATCGTTTTATTGGGGTAGTTCCATTTTCAAGTATTTTACGGTGGTTTTACAAAGAACCAGAGCGAAAAAATATAAATTTCTTACCAGTTAACAGAAAGTCAGCATCGTTCATTAAAAATGTTTATTGTCTTTTGATAACTAGGCCTAGGGCCTATATGATTATATTAAATAAGCAATTCAAAAACTATTTTTGAAATTTTCTACATTTTATGTTTGATGGCAGTGTACCTTTAATGGAAAATTCCCCATTCAGCACTTGTTGTTAGGCCTATGTATTTTAATTAAATATGTTGAGGTGAGAATAAATTAAATAAAGTACAGTAAAAACTGACAGATTCGTATATTCATATATTCAACTTAGACAAAATAACAATTAAATTACACATGGCCTCATCATAGAAGTAGGCCTAAGAAATAATATAGACCTACAGTTAGTTATGAGTATTTCTGCGACAGAAAATCATAACTGAAACTGAGTTATCAACACCCAACAAGTACAGTAATTGATTATTATACAATCCTTCTGCTTTAATCTCTACTGACAGACGTTCATGAAGGCACATACCCTATATACGAATATAGGGTCTGTGATGAAGGTAAGGAGAGAAAAGAAAAGCAATACTTTCGATACAGGATGTGCAAAGGAAATGACAACACAAACAAGGGCCTCATTGCGTAAATACGCCATTGAAACTATCAGGGGTGATCAAGGTTGAATATATATTTTTTGTGATATTTAATTGATTTCTCATTAACAGTCCTAATATCGGAACTATTATGTATTTATCATGTCTCACGATTCGAACTGCGATCGCTCGTTATTAATGCGTCATACATTTTTCATATACGCTTTTCAAAACAATTGGTCACTGGAACTTCGTTATAAAATCAAATCAGATTAGAAGCAACTGATAAGATGGGACCTCCGAAAAGATATTTTTTAAAAGAAAATCATCAATAGGGATAAACTACCTTATTTAATGCGGCCGGCAAGTCCATAGTGGTACAACGCGTCTCGATACAGTGCAATATGATATTGTAAAATAACACTGAAATTTGAATTTTTTTTTGTGTTCCACACAAAAAATAAACGCGGATGAATTTTTTTATGTTTGATTTTGCGCCAGAAACATTAGCCTATCAACAGTTCTGTAATCAGAAATTTAAAAAAAACGGCCGACATGATATTTTCATAAATTGGTTCATAATGATGAAGTGATAACTTAGTGTCTTTTTCACCACAGTTACGCAAATGAGCATGGCTAAATATTTTGGGCTGACAATTATTCCTTTCTTCCTTCCTATATCACTCGAAAAACTCCCTTGTTGACATACAGGCCCGGCATCAATTGTGTTCCCGGTTTTTGTTTCGTTTTGCTTTGTTTTTTGTTTTTTTTTTCTTTCTTTTTTTTTTTTTTTTTTTTTTTTTGTCTCCGCTCACTTTCTGAACTCAGGAACGCACAATTAATACAACACAAAAGATAAAAAATCAATAACATTATAATATTTAGTTTGTTGACTGGATATAAAGTAACTAAACAAGTTTCAAAATACCTGCAAGATTTTCACGAGTCAAATACCACTCAGATAATTATACCGGGTAGCTTTACTTATTCAGAAAATAAAACGTTCCCGGCAAAATTTCAGTTTTTAAGAAAAATCTAATTTTTGTATAATGTTATAAAGATTTATAAATATAATACGGAATTGCTAGTTTAACTGAATTTAGACATTCCTAAGAATGAAAAAAAATCTAAAATAAGACTGAAATTTGATTTTTTTGTGTTCCACACAAAAAATAAATGCGGATGAATTTTTCATTTTGATTTTGCGATAGGTCGTGAGAAGAAATATCGTAGGCGCCGAAAACATTAGCCTATCCAACGCTGCTAGGCTAGGCCTAGCCTTACCTCGATTTAGGTTCTGTTATCACACATAAAAACAGGCGACATGATATTTTCCGTTGCTAGTATTGACACTTGTGAAATATAATATTTCATAGGAATTATTTCAAATTTGTTAAAAAACTGATTCTGACTGAGATTTTGACACTTAAACAAACATATCTCAGCCTAACCGAACGACCGCACTGTGTGAAATGCAAAGTACAAAAACTAATCTCTTTAGAGAGGGCGCACTTTATTGACCGTATAAAGTATACATAAAAGCGAGAGTACCGTATTCCAGTTAATGCGATCTACAACCTCTGAATTTGCCTAGTAACGATGAATTCGTCGAGAAAATGGTAATATTTTATGAGAAATAGTCTGTATTTCACTTTTTTTTTTATTCTTTTGCTTGAAACTAAAATTCATGCCAATATTTTTCCATGATTTATAATAATTGGAGTAATGCAAATGCATATTTTCTAAAAAAAAAATTTTCTAAAAAAATTTTTGCCAGGAATGGGGCTTTAAGGGTTGCGGAATCTAAAAATGCGCCTTTTATACTACGATATTAGGGATTGGTGGTGGCAATAAAAAATCAGGTTATTTGATAATTAAAATTAATATGCCATGTATTGAGTGTTGGTATTAGTCCAGGTGTGTCCGACTGGACACACCTGGACTCATACCAACACTCAATACAGGTGTCGTTCCATGATCGCAAAGTTTTGTTCAAAATCGTATTTATTATTTGTTTGATTATACAACATACATTAATTTATCAATTTATATTAACAGTAATTACAAAGCTATTATGTGAAAGACAGTGGGCACCAGTCGCGGGAGGGGGACCAGGGAAACTTCCTCATCCACACCCTGTGAGAGGGCGGAAAAATACAATTTGTCGCGGAGGAACTACGGTATTCAATGTAATTTTTACAGAATATAAAAATCAATTAAATAATCCTTTCTAAATTCCAAAATTGTCAGAGTTTACAGGGTTTCCGTCCCCTGGGCCCCAGTTTAGGAGTTCTGGGCTGCCGGCTCCGCCCATGTTCCCCTCGGGAAAATCGTTCTTCCAGTCGGAAACGCCTTTAATAGCTCGCACTGTACATTATTGCTGGCTGCGTGAAACTGAAAGATAGGGTCTGTGATACATATGTTCTATTTTCTCTGTGGTGATACACTGCACTCTCAAACTTGGATTTAATTCTGAATAGTCTACGCGTTCACTCAAAATTAAATAAAACTTTATTTGTCCATTAAACACAAGTAAAAATGGAAATTCTTTTTCCACTGGCAAAAAAACTGAAACAATAAAAAATTGTAAAAACATTAAAAATGCGAAAAGAACCATGAATAAAATTCGGAAAGTTAAACATTACTTAAAAATAAAAATGTTCATTTATTTTGGCCTTAATTGCCGCCCATATTGTGGGCGGAGCTAAAAACACCAAAAGGGAGCACGGGTTTGTTGTCGCGTCAGAAGGATTGTTTTATCGAGCGATTATCCGCTTGAAGTCTTCAATAATACAAGTGTTTTGACTTGACCAAACCAGAAAGCTGCAAGCAAGTCATTCATGCAGTAGTAGGCCAATATACGTCCGTTTACATGGCAAATGAATTAATCCCAGTTGTCGATTTTTCAGCCTACAGACTTGATCGCAATGTACCCGACGAGGCAAAATTTCCACTTCTTATCACAGAGGTTTATAAAGCATTTTCAAAAATAGGTTTCGTGTACCTCGTCAACACCGGTATACCTTCTAAAATCGTAAGTACGTTCTCAAGTCCCACTACTGCTGACTAATTTTCAGTTATATCATAGAGAAAGAAAAATAAAAGTAGTCACAACACAGCAAGATCAAACGATAAGACACCAATGAACTTAAATAGCAGAAGAATGAGCTGTTCCGCGTATTTGCATTAAAATTGATGGAACATCCGCCCTCCCGCGAATGGGGTAAAATTTGAATTTTTATTAAGTGGAGAAATACAGGAAACAAACGAACCAGAGCGGCGTCTTTATTATTACTATATTGCGCCGCCGCGCGGATGGGGTAAAATTGCTCTCCGTGTACCCACAATGCCTTTGGAACGGATGTTCCACTTCATTGGGAAGCTGCTCTATCTTCTGCTTTTTATTATCTTTGACGACACTAGCAAACTCGGTAGGCACTACATCAAAGAGTACTGGCTAGCTATGTAGGGCGGCCAGTGAATACATATTCCTTTAACGATAGCGGAGGCTTTTTGAGGAGAAATGAATTCGTTCAAACAAATATATGGAGTTGCAAAAATGCAAAATATAATATATTGTTAGTTCATCAATCGGTTTATCATTTTTTTTTTCGTTTTGTTATCTTTCTACTAATAACAACATTTAAAAGCGAAAAAAATAAATACTAAAACAAAATTTCAATCAATATCATAATGAAAATAAATGGAATTTGGTATGTATAGTATGTGTATGCTCTCCTTTTTGTTACATTTTCATGTACTTTTTTGGTTCTACATGTACATGAAATATAGATTACTCAATTACACCTAATTTATGAAATATATGCCAATATTTATTTAATAATATTAATATTATTATTATTTTATTATTTATCGGTTTTCCATAGGGTTTTTTTTTTTATTTTCATTTTTGTTGTGTTTTTATATAACAGTATTATTTATAAAAATCTTTTATAAAAAAACTTTTTATCATATTCCTGTTTTCATTATGGCATCCTTATTCATTTTATTTGCTTTTAAATGTGTTGTTATTATTGAAAAGATAACAAAATGAAAATTTTAAAAAAACGTATGATAAACTGATTGACGAACTTATGATACGATATAGGCATATTAGATTTTGCATTTTCGCAACTCCATTGGCGCTCTATATTTTAGTCCGAAATGAAATGATACCTAAGTGGGGGGACCAAAATGATCTGTATTCAACCATATGATGCATATCCAAAACATTATTTTGATTGGCAACACTGTGATCTAAAAGCAATATTTTAAGCCACACTGTATGGGGTGCCATACGCAGTAAAAGTCCATGTTAAAATCAAAATGTAATTGCAAAATTCAATGTCTGATTTATCAAAACGTAGGCGTAAATTTCTCAAAATGTAGATCTAGTTTCCTAAAATGAAGTTCTAATTTTTGAAAACGTAGTTCAAATTTTCCAAAATGTAGTTCTAATTTCTTTAAAACTTAATTCAATTTCAGAACGTAGGTCTAACTTCATCAAACGCCCTCTCCAAATTCTATTCCAAAACGTAAATCAAAACCCAGCCTGGTTTGAAATGCATTTTACAACAACACTAGAACATGGACTTTTGCTGCTTATGGCACAGACACACAAAATGTATTAAAAATCAAAACTAGTCAGCCAAGCGTGACATGGGCCTGTTCCATTAATGATGGGGGAATCATTTTTCGCTGCAGTCCAATTTCTTAAGTTAAATTATTTAAAGTTTTCTTTTATTTTCAATGAAAAATAAATGCGATCGTTAATATCGATCTTGGTACAATGTAAACCTGTAATCATATGACTACTTATACAGAATAAATATTATAGGCCTAGACTAGGACCAGGCCTCTTACTATAGTATAGAGGCCTAGACCTCCTACTATAGTATAGAGGCCTCGTCCAAGACCTTGTTGTAAATCCCAGCCCACATAAGCCTAACATATAATGCCAAGCAGGGCTCGTGATCACGGTAGCCTGACCATTAAAAATTAGCAGACGCACTGGGAAGCGTTGTTCACGGCATTGGACTGCAGCGAAAAATGATTCCCCCATCATTAATGGAAAGGCCCACGTCATGCTTGGCTGATTAGTTTTGATTTACATTTCGCAAGTCAAACGTGCCATACGCAGCAAAAGTCTATTTCTAATGTTGTTGTAAAATGCATTTCAAACCAGGCTGGTTTTTGATTTACGTTTTGAAATATAATTTGGAGAGAGCATTTGATCAAGTCAGACCTACGTTTTGAATTTGAATTACATTTTAAAGAAATTAGAACTACATTTGGAAAAATTTGAACTACGTTTTGAAAAATCAGAACTTCATTTTGAAAAACTATATCTACATTTTGAGAAATTTACGCCTACGTTTTAATAAATTAGACATTGAATTTTGCAATTACATTTTGATTTTAACATGGACTCAGGACAGGTGCGATGTGGAGAACATTCAGATTATGGTGGAATCACCTTGCTCTTCCAGGATTCACAAGGGGGCCTGGAGGTAAGTTATCAACCTGTTCCATTATTCAAAGATACACATTTTTCCAAGGAAGAATCGAGCCAAGAACGCAAATTCACCACCTATTTTTTCTCCAAGGTCGAGACGCGACTAACACTTTAGATGTGTATAAGAGACAGTTCCAGCGTATATATCCTAGAAGGTTGGCTAATATTCTGGGGCCCTCTTAAATAAATGAAATAACATGTTGCTCTCATCAGCCAAGTCTCTTTATGAGGCTGTAGGGAGTGGAGTTGTTTTTAGTCCAAGGAAAAAAGTCTTGCTTCACAGGAATGGAACTACTATAAGGACCCTGATATTAAAAGGCAAGCATCATAACCACTACTGTAAGCTATTCAACTCCACCTTTTCAACCTTCTCCCCCAAACTCCCGCAATGGGCCGTACCCCTGGACCCTTCTGGGTGCCACTGGAGGCTCCAATATCCCCGCTTTTGGGACTCTGCCAGCTACATTATCCTGAGGTCCCTCAGTAATCCCTGAACAATCTTTAAGTAGAGTGATGTTGGTTTCTCTTGTAGGATGTGTCCATGTTGCTTTTAGTTGACTTTTATTTGTATCATCTGTTTTGACTACTTTGGCAAAATTTACTTGGCCTTGGGACAGACTTCCAATGTCAAATTGCTGCAATGAAGCAATATGATGTTTGTTTTCCAAGAAGAAAATTTTCCCATTATCTCTTGGCTCTGTTTTGGGAATTTTCTTGATTCTTTCCTTCAGTGCTGTAATTAACATTTCACTAGATTGCATTGCTGTTGCTTCATCACTCTTCAATAACTGATTAAGAAAACTCAATTTTGTATTTACATCCAATATTACTGTTTTCAATTCATATATTTGTTCATCATTTACCTGCTTTTTATTTTTGTAGATAGTTTCTACTTTATCTTTCATTTCATCTCCTTTATTCTTGATTTCTTTTATTATTTCTTTCACAAAATTGTCAATATCGTTCAAACTCATTTCTCTACATTGTTCCAATTTTGTAGCATTGCAAATAACTCCTTCTAGGCCATCTTGTAATTTGTTTTTGAATTGATTGGCAGCTTCCTCCAATGTTACTGAAGTTTTTCTAAATGTTTCAAATGCATTTGATATGCTGATTGGTTTGTGTTTCCCCTCCCATCCCTTGTGTTCTATTAATGTGCAATAAATGCATATTGGAGTTTTACAATCTTGGCAGTACAATTCCAAAGGTTTAGAGTGAAGTGAACACAGTGGAGGATTTAACAAGGCAAAGTCCTGAGGCGTCATTGAGCGCACTTCCTCCACTGTATGTAGCTTGTGATTTGCAGACATAGGCATAGTAATTTATGATGGTCACTACAAGAAGAGCACAAGTAATGTTTACAATCCTGGCAGTAGTTTTCTGCTCTTTTTCCACAAACACATTTCATGATCTGATCTCCCAGTTTAGCATATTGTTCAAAAGTTTCTAATACGTTGTTCAGAAAGGTATTTGGTGGAAGCTTCTGAAGTCCGCCTTCTGGAATTGGATATGATTTTGTGCAAATTGGACAAGTCAGCTTACCATTTTGCTTGACCCAGTCCTCAAGGCAGACTAAACAAAAACTATGGAGGCAGTTGAGGGATTTTGGATTGTTTAGTCTCTTAAAGCATATGGCACACTCTAGGACTTTCTCATCAATATCTTCCAGAAACTGATTTAATTCAGTTGTAGCCATCTTGATATAATCCTGTAAATGGTTAATAGTTTAATTAATAAATATTATAAATAAGTCAATCGTGATATCATCACTGCAACTCCCAATGTTATTTGGCTATCCCCCACAGTACAATAATTTTGTAATTATATATTTAATAATTTCTACGTAGCTACCATCATGGAATAAAGGAAAAAACTAAATTACTAATGAGCAAGAACATATTAAAACGAAAAAGAACGAAATGTCTATATTAAAAACAAGTTAAAGTCTTAAAAAGCTATTTCAATGGTTTCATATACAGTAATTAGCATGATCGTATGTGTTGCCTACTGCAGCTACAGCCGAATACAGAGCACACTATGGATCCTTGATAATCTTTACAAATTCTTACAGTAATTAATATGTAATTTTATTTACAATTTTAATAAGTTGTTTTGATCAAGTACTGTATCATGTTAATTTTTCCCTGAAATTTAAATTTTCTATTTTATATAAATAAATAAAATGAAATAATACTAATAATACTACCCAGTGAGTGTAAATTTAGTGGGTGTTTATGGATCCTTGATTAGGCCAGACAGACCCAAAATCCTTTTTTGAAACAAATATTTGTTGTTTTACGAAGGAGCCTAATATACTATTATGTTTAAAAGTACACCACATAATATATATCATTTAGTTTGGCCCTTATGTATTAATGAGCAGATTTTGATTATTATGGTTATTTTTTACTTCACTTTAAAATTTATATCAAATTTCACTTTAATAAGTGAAAATTTGAAGTAATAATTTTTATTATAGCAGGTCATATTTAAACATTTGGTTTGATGGCATTTGTTAGGCACAAGAACACGGCATATCAGAAGAGTTTTTAGGGTCTCTTCATTCTGTATTCACTTATGCTGTGCAGTTACATCAACGGATACTGGAAGTTTTAGCAAGAGGACTTCAACTTCAGGTACAATTATCAATTTATATACTGTATTCTAAAACTGTATTGAAGATCCAATAAGTTAAATTTTTAGGTAGGGCAGAAAAAAAATAAAATGTTATTGGTGAATGTAAACAGTGTAGCAACTTTTTTCTTTATTATGTCTGTAATCATTTAAATTATGAACCTAACTACATGAAACATCAAACCTTTTTTTTTACAACCATACTTATAAAGGGTGAGCCTTCCAGCGTATATATCCTAGAAGGTTGGCTAATATTCTGGGGCCCTCTTAAATAAATGAAATAACATGTTGCTCTCATCAGCCAAGTCTCTTTATGAGGCTGTAGGGAGTGGAGTTGTTTTTAGTCCAAGGAAAAAAGTCTTGCTTCACAGGAATGGAACTACTATAAGGACCCTGATATTAAAAGGCAAGCATCATAACCACTACTGTAAGCTATTCAACTCCACCTTTTCAACCTTCTCCCCCAAACTCCCGCAATGGGCCGTACCCCTGGACCCTTCTGGGTGCCACTGGAGGCTCCAATATCCCCGCTTTTGGGACTCTGCCAGCTACATTATCCTGGGGTCCCTCAGTAATCCCTGAACAATCTTTAAGTAGAGTGATGTTGGTTTCTCTTGTAGGATGTGTCCATGTTGCTTTTAGATGAAATGAAATACTGCCCTGCGAGTGTAAATGTTTGCATGCTGTCATATGACAACTAAAGGCCTTGGATATTATTACTAACCAGGGCTTGTTATTTTAAAATTTGAAAAACCTATTTTTGTTTACAGTAGGCGAGCGATTATTTGGGAGTGGTGAAAATTTAAGTTTCTGTGGTGCAGTTGGTATACACATACAGTAAATACTAATGCAGTCATCTAAGTGGTGTTAGAGTTCAAAACAACACAAAATAAATCCAAGCAAAAATCATTGCCACATTTATGGCTCTTAAACATCATTTATGAATACACAGCACACTATGGATCCTTGATAATCTTTACAAATTCTTACAGTAATATATAATTTTATTTACAATTTCAATAAGTTGTTTTGATTAAGTACTGTATCATATTAATATTTCCCTGAAATTAAAATTTTCTATTTTATATAAATAAATAAAATAAAACAATACTACCCAGTGAGTGTAAATTTAGTGGGTGTTTATGGATCCTTGATTAGGCTCAAACCAGACAGACCCAAAATCCTTTTTTGAAACAAATATTTTTTGTTTTACGAAGGAGCCTAATATACTATGTTTAAAAGTACACCCCATAATATATATCATTTAGTTTGGCCCTTATGTATTAATGAGCAGATTCTGATTATTATGGTTATTTTTTACTTCACTTTAAAATTTATATCAAATTTCACTTTAATAAGTGAAAATTTTGAAGTAATAATTTTTATTATAGCAGGTCATATTTGAACATTTGGTTTGATGGCATTTGTTAGGCACAAGAACACGGCATATCAGAAGAGTTTTTAGGGTCTCTTCATTCTGTATTCACTTATGCTGTGCAGTTACATCAACGGATACTGGAAGTTTTAGCAAGAGGACTTCAACTTCAGGTACAATTATCAATTTATATACTGTATTCTAAAACTGTATTGAAGATCCAATAAGTTAAATTTTTAGGTAGGGCAGAAAAAAAATAAAATGTTATTGGTGAATGTAAACAGTGTAGCAACGTTTATTTTTTTCTGAAATTTGTTTTTTTTATTAGCGCAGGTTGTGCTAAATCATTATTGAGGGGCGGTAGGTTCGCTAAACAATGTATGAAAAATCTTGCCTTAATATCACAATTTTGTAGAATATTTTACTTGTTTACTACTTTTGATAGGACCCCATGATGCTTGTCAATGCACATAAATTGATAGGCAAAGAAGGGAATGTATCAGCTCTACGCTCCCTTTTCTACCCACCACCAAGCGATTTCCCCACTAAAGCAGGACAGGTGCGATGTGGAGAACATTCAGATTATGGTGGAATCACCTTGCTCTTCCAGGATTCACAAGGGGGCCTGGAGGTAAGTTATCAACCTGTTCCATTATTCAAAGATACACATTTTTCCAAGGAAGAATCGAGCCAAGAACGCAAATTCACCACCTATTTTTTCTCCAAGGTCGAGACGCGACTAACACTTTCCCAATGTTCTGAATTCTATAAAAATTGGGAACATTTTGAAATCTTTAAGGGCAGTATCTAGTGGTTTTAGAGTTTGAAATAAGGTATACCTTATGTTTAATTATGGGAGAATTGATAATCATTTGTATCAGTAGTCAGTGCCGATTGTTATCACCGTGCAGAGCAAAATAAAATTAATAAATTGGAATGAATGAAATGAATGCTTCCAACCAAGGTGAAGCCAGAAAAAGCTAGTTAAAAGGCCATGCCAAACAATACATGTGACCAGCTTTAATCTCTTACAGGTAAAGAACCTTAATGGAGACTTTGTTGCTGCCTCGCCTATAGAGAATGCGGTCATTGTTAATGTTGGTGACTTGATGCAGAGGTGGACTGCAGATAAATTAGTCTCTACAGCAAGTTAAATGTTCACTTCTTTTTTTTTATTATAGGCCTATGTATGTGCGACATGTTGGCCCTTGGGCCTTGTATGTATATATTGAATAAAGTGTGTCAGTTACATATTGACGATACCACTTTTATTAGCCAGTCTGTTTTGATATGTTGATAATAAAATGTTTGTTTTTTTCTTTAAATCCAGAAACACAGAGTTCTTATGCCATTTGATACGGAAAAACCCAATCAGATCCGTCAGTCCATGGCTTTCTTTGGCCATCCGGATAGTGAGGAGCAGATTGTGTGTATCGATGGGAGTAACAAGTATCCTCCAGTAGGAAGCCTGGAATATCTTAACTATAGGTTTAGTGTCACATACTAATACAGTATACTGTACAGTACTATCCTAATGTAATTTATAAGTTGTGGGCTGAAGTCTGTCAGGTTTTGGATCCTCTCTTTACACAATGAACAATTTTGAGCAGATTGGTGTTCTGTACAGTTTAACCTTTATCAAATACTGCATACACAGAGTGGTTAAAATACATAACTGGGCCCTGTGGCATTATGATTGTCAATCCCTAATGTGGTGTAGAAGCACAATTTTTGGCTATACTAAGCCATATCTCTACCCATGAACCCTACCAGGAATTTTTATTCTGCGAGCTTCTAGTCAGAGTAGCCCCTTCCATGCAGGTGAACAGGTTACCCAGTATAAAGAAAAATTTAATTTATATGACACAGGCTCATGATGTGAGTGGTCTTTGAGAACTTGGTGAGCAATCTTATTTTATGAAATCTAAAATTGATGTATGAAAACCTGGTTTTGAGAAAATCAGCTTAAAGGCAAAATATACTAAAGTACAGAGTATATATACACAGGAAACACTTTAATAGTAAAAATAAGCTTAAAATGTATCAAAATTATTTAAAAACATTAAAATGTAACTTTAGAAAGAATTTCGTCTTTTGGCGTATTTCTGTGATTATTGTATCTCAATATGATCTCACCAACAATATGTCTCATTCACTGTTCCCTGGTCTCATTTCATCGCGAGATCTCACAAATGTTTGAAACATCTTGTATGCAGTTACCAAATTAATGCAATTATAAACCTATAATGTACTGTACTGCAAAAAAAAAAAGACAAATAATAAAATAAAGAAGATGCTAATTAATAAACCTCATCGGAACTAGCAGTACAGTATATCGATACCTAATCTTTTATTTTGTTTAAGTAATTGATGAGTAGATCATATGAATACAGTAAAACAATATGTAAAAATAAATATTATTGCTTCTTATGGGGGAAATTTAACTAATTTTGAGTTTTAAATCCTTGCTCTCGTTTTCTTGTATAAACACACATTTAAAGCACTCAGTAGATTATAACAACAGTCTGACTGCACTGGCCCTGTAGATTTCCACTGATACCATACAAATGATACCAAACTATGATAGCATGAATGTTCGCTTCTCAGTGAGTTGTAAAGATCTCACTCAACTATTGCTTGATCACCATGTCAGATTCTATTTTACATAATTCGAAGACTTTCAAGAATGAAAAAAATCTTGAAAACAAGGACCACACAAACAGTTTCATATATATGGGAGTGTTTCAATTGCATGATGTAGAATGTATAGACACCTGCTTATGCAAAGTGTTAACCTGTCCAACGGTCACACTAGTGCGAACAAAATCTCCTCAATACATGCAAAGCTTTGCAGGTTAAAATGAATCTATTAGTGGAACCGGTACTGCCTGGCTGGCTTCAAATTTATGTACGTTTTCTTCATCTCTTCAGACTCTCGAGGTCGCATATCAACATATCTCTCACCTCTTGTGGACACCACTTGGTTTCCAATATAACGTACTCGTTTCTTGTTATCCTACCAAATCAACAAACATTATTATTATTAATGAAGGAAATTGGCTTTTAAATGCTGACAATATGCACAGTAAAAGCGAAACCATTGCCTACCTCCTTAGGTGCTAATGGTCGGTGTTCCTTGACATCCTCGGTTGTGTCTATGTAAGAATACTTTTGTAAGATACCCTCCTTTAGTTGGCTGTCATCTTTTTCTGAGTTTCTTCTAGTTACTGACGTTCTCATCTATGAAAAAATACATATCTGGTTATGACGACGATAATGGACCTTACATGCTTAACGTCAGTGCACATGTAGACACAAGTAGGAGTTATGACTTACACAGAGTTAACACATAATGAATTTCTTGACGTAGAAAATTTTTAGAATTTTTTTACCAATCATAATACAGCAGGTGCACTACTATTTACCAGTACTATTACAGCAGGCACACTTATTATTACTACTACCAGACTGCAGGGGCTCACTTCTATGATGTAACAACAGGCATGACAAATATTGAAGTGGAATGGACATTATTACTTTTATACATTTTACAGTCACTAACAGATTACACGTTTCCTTTTGTCAAGGAAGTCTACATTTCAATTAAAGTCAGGCTCCGGAGGAAAACAAATTTTTGATATGTTGTAGAACTGATTTTTCTAAGACAGAAAAAAGTTGTTTGACGAAAAACTGGGGAACGGTGAATGAGATACAGACTTTTTAATATTTAAAAACTGGGGGAAAAGGGGCGTGACTGCCCATTTTTACACCTTATTCCCCCAGTTTTTAAATATTAAAAAATCTGTATCTCATTCACTTTTTTCTGTCTTAGAAAAATCAGTTCTGCAACATATCAAAAAATTATTTTCCTCCGGAGCCTGACTTTAATTCAATTTACCTGTTGTCTTTTCAGTTCTGATTCTCCTGACTCTTGTCTATCCAAAATGAGCTGCGCTGCCTGCTCTATGTCACCTTCTGTCACTGACAAACAGCTTCTTACCTCAACTTGACAGGAAGCTGGAAACATTTCTAACAACAAGCACACACTGGTCTCAATAGACGACTGCTGGTTCAAAACATTTGATATAACCTTTCATTAAATCCAAGAAAGCATAAAACTTGGCTTATAACTTGAAAATCTAATGGATTACTAGTAACTTTTTGAACCTTGAAAGGTTGATATATAATTATGCTATGAACATAAAAATTACCGCGATCATTTGCCTTGGCCTGAATATACAGAATAAGCTTTTCAATGTGATCAGTCATGCATGATGTCCTCTATGCACAATTTTGCATGTTTTACATTATCGATTATATCATCCTAACCAATTTTCATTTCTAAATCATATTCAGTGGGAATAAACTTCAGGTCAAGGTTGAATGTCATGTATCTTAATTTTCCGCGCCCGGACGCATGTGTCAAAATTTAAAAAAACTCAAATCACCTTTTGACTAAATTAGAGCATGTTTCGGGCCATTTTGAGCATTTCAAAATTGCACGCATTCTCTGCTCTGCACGCACATTTTTACTCGCGCAGCACGTTTTTAATCAGTTATAGCTCCTTAGGATGAACTATGACCCCAAATTTTTATTACACATTCTGAAAGCACGAGTTGTAGGTATGATTTTATAGATCATTATGGCTGATCGTACATTGTGACGTCATTTTGCCATCTGAATTAACCTCAATTTTTATCTACGATGTCATTTTTTAAATACTCATTTGAGAGTATCTTGCTTATCCTTGATCGATCGTCTCCCAACTTGAAGTATGTCACACATTGTGAAAGGAAATTGTCTCAGCTGTCATTCATTTTTCACTTTGATGACGTCACCATGGTCAAAATGAATGTTTTTTCTGACCCCCTCCCCTACCTTTCTTTCTTAAATCTGACAACCCCCGATAAAGGGCAGCAGACCTGATATTGTACTGCACTGCTTGAAAATCATGGCTACGGTATTTTTCCCATAAATTCATACTTTGAAACGCCGAGAGATTTCTTTTGCCTGATAAGCTGATAACCTAACTGGTCCTCAGTGACGAGTTCAAATCCAGTGATTTCAATTAAGATACATGCCTAGTATGCCTTAAAAGGCATACTAGGTGATAGGCGCCATATAATATTCTTTTAATTACTGCTATTGCTGTGTGGACAAGTTACATCGGGATTCAAAGGGTTAAATGGTTAAGAAATCAAGAATACTGCTTGCACTGTCTTAAAACATACCTTTCCACCTGCTGCTTCAGAACTAATCTCTGAATCACCAACCTTTGAACTTGACATGTCAGTTGGACCTCCTGGATCTGCACACCTTGTGAACAGCGCACAGGCATCAGATGGCACTGTAGATGTGTCTTCTGTAATAAAAATGCAACAGTCAATCTGGTTAAGCTTAATTTTAGGCAGTAAACAATTAGACAATTTCACTATGTAGGAATATGTAACTGATGCCAAGCAGTTGTGGCACCAAAGAGAATACTCTACAGCCCACCATATATTTCCTTTTGAATGCTTAAACTTCTGCTAAATTTTGGTATTTTTTCTCAGGGTACTCACTTCTTACTTAATCAAGGTAGGCCTTTTGAAATGCCACCAACAGTAGTTATTCAGCATAGTAAATGTTGGCCCTGATTAAGGACATAGCGAATGACCAAACTCACCCACTTAATAAGTTCATAACAATTAGTAAATCTGGCAGAATAATTCCAACTTTAAAATGTACCAACCGTCATACTCATTTTTACCATGTGCAATAAGAGCCTTTAACGAACACTTCAGTAGATAATCTCATGATCAAGCCTATCTACTGTATTACATTCCTTGCCATATTCCTCTCCTGACCTCACTTTATTGTTCAACCTTGTTAATTCCGTGTGTAATATATTTTTATATTCATATTTAATATTATATCTGTTAATTGTTGTCTTGTATTTTATAGTGTTATAGTATTCGATTACTGCATTATCATATTTAAACTAATCACCTTTTTTTGATCCATGTGACTTAAACTGTTCAGCAACTTGAAATATCCATTGGCAAACTTCATCTCTAAAATAATAAATGAAATAAATATTACAAATAAAGTCAAGAAAGGAACGAGAAAAAAGGCAATGAAAAATAGGTGAGGTGCACTACTTACCTTTCAACTTTCATAAACCCTGGAATGTAAGCATCCATCATCTCGATAAATTCTTCCACAGCAAATTCATCCTCACTTCCAATGTCCTCCAGAATGGATGATACATAGTCCAAAACAATCTCATCTACAGAACTAAATAAGTTGAGTTTTATTTTTAATTTTCCATAACAATACTATGAATTTTGGCAAAAATAATGAAAGTATTAAAAAGTAACCTTTACAGCTGGAAGCCATATGAAGGATGTAATGTAACACCTAAAAAATCATGAAATATGTTTTGGTCTTATTAGGCAAAAAAAAAAATATTTGTGTTGGCCTTAAATGGAAAAAATTGAGATCGTCGGTCGTGAAATTATCTGTGTATCTGATACACACGATCACGCACAGGCAGGTCGTGAAGTATAAACATACTATTGGCTATGAAAAATGTCCAAACAAAAAAACTATTTTGTTAATTTTTGGCCTAAAACTGTAAGGGAGTCTAAAATGTCTAGCTATGTACTGACTTTAAACCAATGGCTAGACCCAACTGAGCTTCAAGCTGGTGGCGCTGTAATCTATTTTCCTGTCTCCCACTAAAAAGATCAAAAAAATTATGATCACAACCCACCCAGAACGGTGAAAATTGATGTCCCCAAGGGGAATGCCGATTAAAGGAGTAAAGGTTTCCACATGGTTTTACCTCAGAGAGTTGTATAATGAATGTTTTTTGCTGAAAAGTATCAACTTGTCTTCAACAAAATTTCCACTTGCCATTTCTGCTGTACTGCATCTCCCAAAGCACCTTAAAAATTAATGAGAAAAAAACAAGAGACAGGATATTAAGAGCTTCGAAAATATGAAACACGTAATGCAACACCCCTCCCTGGCACCTTGACATGTGGTGCCAGCCAGTCGGTCTTGCGGCTGGCATGTCAAAAAACTCCTGTGGTGACGTCACAAAGCCATGCTTCAAGAGGCCAGGGTTTAGACAGCCTTGGTTAATTAAGTTGAATTTGGATGCAACACCCAAACCGTGAACAATAATTGGATATAATAATTGGAGCGAAGGCTCTACAGACACTCATCAACATATTAAAAAGTAGGTAGTGTATATTATGCCGTTGCCGGCAAATGTGCCAACATTGATATTTTGGCAGTCTATTTTTCTGATTGGCTAATGTAAATTATGAGGTCATCAAACTTTCTCGAGCGACTGGCTCCGCGAAGGAGGATTGTGAAAGAATACCAACATGGTGATACTTTCGACAGTTTTTTAGCTCAGAGACACCTCGACAAGCTAGCTAGGGGTGTCATGTGTGTGCTACACACATAACAGACACCCCTATTATTTAAATAGAATAGTCCAAAGTACAGTTGTTGGCCTAGAACTGCTCTTGATCCGAGGGCCCTAACAAATCTTTGTAAACTTTGATCACTAGAGTATTTGTGATTTGAACCATCAAATTAGTGGAAATGAGCTTTTTACTGGCAGTATGAACGGTTAAATAGTGCGTGTGATTCTCTGACGGCAATTGCAAAACATAAAACTCCCTACCGAAAGTTTTATGACATCATAATTTACATTAGCCAATCAGAGAAATAGACCGGCAAAATATCACCGTCACCGGCATAATAGGCCTAACTGCCTATAGTATTGTATCATGTAACTAGGCCTAGGCCCCTAGGCTAGGCCTAGTGTGTAAATCGATTAAAATGGGAACAAGGTTTTTCCTAACAGCAAATTGTCCGTGCATTTCAAACTGGGCAAGACTTTCTGTGCACAATTGAGGCAGTTGTGCCTAGAGTAGTAGCAGCCTAAGCTGAGGCCTAGGCCTAGCCTTGATCATGAGCTACTGCTGCTGTTGTGAGTGAGTGACTGACTAGCCTAGATAGGCCCTAGCTTAGTTATAACAAGGAGGTTATAATCATACCATTACACTGCTAGGCCTAGGCTATGTATTCCGAAAGTCATCGGTTAACAATATACTTTGATGTGTATTCTAAATACTGCATTGCATGAATTATAAGAACTAACACTCCAAAACAACTCACCACCTAGCCTACTTACTACAAAACAAAGATATTAGAAATACAAGATAGAGTTCTCGCATTGTAAAAATGAGGCGGAAGTCGTGCCCAACGTAGGCGGCGCCCTTCTTTTTAACCATGCAAGTTTCCTATACTTCGTGCCCAACGTACAGGGCGCCCTTCAAGTATATCCAGACGCAAAAGGCGCCCTTCCTTTTCCACTAATGGAGGAAAACTTTTTCACTAAGAGTGCGTCCTGCCATGCGATTCTGCGCTGTATTGTTGTTTTATTCTTTACTGATTCATGATTATGCTTTAATTGTTTTGTGTATTATTTGGATAATAGCAACGATTTCCACCGCCACCAAGGAGGTTATGTATTCACCGATGTCACTGTCTGGGTGTCTATTCCAGTTTGTTTTTATATCTGTATCTTTGTTGAGAATAGATAATAAAATACGCGACGACTTGGTGACGAAAGTTTGGCCGAATTTTTTTTAGATCCAGCTGTAGGGGGCGTCCCATTTTTCGTATTCCCACCATGCATTTCGGTGGAACACGGTGGAACACTTTTTTTGTGTGGAGAACTCTATCTTGTATTTCTAGTATCTTTGCTACAAAATGTACCGCCAAAGTTTGTTTTGGTATCAGATCAGATGAGGGTTGGTATGGAACGCCAAAAAGGGCAAAGTACAAGTGACAGCGCAAAATTCCAGGGCCACAGTGGAATTCCCCGGAATAAGGAAGAGGGATGATTTTTTTTTTTTTTTTTTTGGGGGGGGGGGGGGGGGGATCCGAGAACAGGGGGGGGTTGTCAATTCAAACGACGTCAACATTTTTATTTTAGTATATCTATATACTGTACTAGTATTTATGATTGTATTTTAATTCTGTGAAGACGGCACCTAAAAAAATCTTAATATCAGACACGCGTGCTGTCTTCATTCAAGGTATGACTTTCCCCCTATCGTCTTATTAAATACATGCATTAATTAGCTTGCTTGCTTATCAACTCAGTCTACATTGTTTACTTTATATACAGGGGTCTCGCTGTTTTCTAAAGCAATAAACGGCAATAAACCAAATGAATATATAAAACTTTAAAATACAGACAAACGAGGCTAAAACAATAGTAATGTAAAAAACATTAATAATAAAAATTATAATAACAGGCCTAATAACAATATAACTACATTAAACATTAAAAGAAAGAGAAAGAGCCCTGGCAATACTCGATTTGCCTACGGACGATCGGGCCAATTTCAAGACAATTCCGTTAATTATAAACTGTGACCCGCACACAGCGGTGCTACTCTTGGCATTGATTTTGCTCCTTTACCGTTTTGGTCTGTTGCCTATGCCATTTTGGTATTTGTCATTGCCATTTAGGTCTATTGACGTTTTAGTTTATTGCAGTTTTGGTTATTGCCGTTTGACCTGCTACCATCTCAAGTCCTACATAACTTTCCATATTTCCTATGGAAAGGTTGGGTCCATATTATGGCTATGCAGAAATTATTATTTCTGATTAAATGGTGATACAAGGTATAAATCTTTCTACAGTAGTACTTACCAAACTCCCAAATTCACTGCCTGGGCTTGAGACCCCTGCTTTAAAAATGATGAATATGACATTCCCATCACGAAACACATACAGCCAGCGAGACGGGGCCCTTGACGCATTCAAACTTGCTGACCATATTTTTTTTATTTTTAGATGTTCTCAGAGGGCATCTTTGAAAAGCCAGCTATTGGCTGGACTGAATATAATAATAACAAGCATTTTTACTTCTTACGACCAAAAAGAAAAACCAGAGCCTTGCAGGCGTCAACGTTCCTATGCAAGATACATATATATAATACATATATA